TATATTGTGTATAATTCTGCTAGTCTCTAGTAAGATGTTGGTACCAAAAATAATCTGCCTATCACATTGATATAATTCATATGCCTATAGATTATCATCACGTAAAGAACTTTACCTTTATTCTTCCATGTAATGAAATCAATTTTTTTACCTCTTTATTAAATAAAATACTCCGTATGTGCAAATAACATTGTTATAAAAATATAGAATTACATTTATAACTCAGTTCAGAAAAAAGAAAAAAAAAAAACTGAGCAACAAAACTCAAGAGATAGTTTATTAGAATCAATGAAACAAATAGTGAAAAAACAATAACTAACATTGAAATGACACTAACAAATTCAGAGCAGGAAATGAAAAAAAAAAGAAAAAACAGACCACTACAAACTAAAACGATGAAATTAAAGGAAATTGATAGAGATATCCTATAATCAAATGAAAAAACAACTATATGCAACATTTGAAAACTCCTACTAAAAAGCATTGGATATTGCTTAGGAATAAGTAACAGTAGAAAAGCACGGTTACCTGATGAAGATGTTAGAGCGGGAATCTTCCAGGAGAAAGAAGCAAAAAAGGCATTAAGATCGGCTTCAGGAAAATATCTCTTGATATAGCGTTCAACCGAGAGCTTGCTTGCAAAGATATGTTGTTTGCGGAATGTGCCAGAAGCTGACTCTGCCCCTGTGTTCTCCTTTTCTTCCTTCAACATGTGGATTAGTCGACTTGGTAAATATAGATATCGATCCTGAAAGTGTGTGCCACCGGGGGAAATTCTCCGTCCAGTTCTCCATCCCCAAACATCACCTTGTTCTGGCCAATTTTCCGGTGCATATGGATATCCCTCACCAGAGGTTTCTGGTATAACTGGCTATAGATAAAATAAATCATTATCCTCCATCTCAACCGTAGTCCAAATTAGAATTACAAATATAAAACTCAGTTCAATGAGAAAACCCTTCACTAAAATAAGAAACCCAAATATCAATATTATATATTAGGCTGAATAGTTTTTCAAGTTCACTAAGTTGTATGTCACCTTATAGTTAGTCTCTAAAAGCATGAAAATTCAAAATTTTTACCCAAGATAAAATCCATGTTAGTCTTGTGTAAGATAATTTGCTGAAATGACACAATAAGTGATATCAACCACCACTTTCTCCTCAACTTTAGCATGTAGCAGCCAACATATCACTCAATGTATGGTGTCAGTTTAGTTAACATAATCCATACAAAGGACTAACTTGAAAGACTGATCATACTTTCAAATACAAATTTTGAATTTTGACACTTTCAAGAACTGACTAGAAAGTGACATACACTTTTAAGGATCCAAAAGACTATTCATCTTATATATTAAATTGACAACTCAATCATACACTAAATTAATACCATAATCCCCTTCTCATTTGACCACTTCCAACTATTCTACATAGCATTCATAAGTCTAACAAGAACAAATTAATAGTGTATTCATTTATATTTGAAATATAATATGCTAGAGCAATATAAATTTCACTTAAGTTTTTTTCTACACAAAAAAATTGGATGAAACTGAAATATCCCATATACATAGGAGGGTATATGATAACCTTCCTAAGAGCGGTTGATCCAACCAAAGGTTGTGTTATCCTCTATGTATATTATGAGGGTTTGTCTTATTCCTTCCTTCATAATTGAAGGTTCAGGGACATGATTATGAGTTAATCACTAATAACACGAACAATATGCCTTTTTTCTTTCTTGAGGCTTGGTTAAACACTGTCTTTTTAAGAACTTTTTAAGAATTTATGTGCAGTATATTGCACAAGTTCCTAAAGTATAACTGGAATCATTGGAGTGGTATGCCCAAGGTATAACAGGAACCTCTGGGGTGTGGTATACCCAAGGTACAACGGGAACCTTAGGTATGATATAAAGCTGGCAAGTGTATAAGAATAGAACCAAGAATGTCGAAGGTTTATTCTGGAGGAGAGGGGGCACGCCCCCTTTTATGGACGCCCAGACATGACCAACACGATCACACACGAGAACAGGAGTAATGTTACCGGAAAGGGAAAAAAAACAATAAATAAAGCTTATAACAATAAAGACCTTGGATGGCACTTGCAGGCTAGAGTGGGGAATCAGCAAGCACCAGAACTCTTGATATCCCCACCTTACAATTATAAGGAGTTGGTATACAAGCACTTGAGCATAGAAGGGGGAAATCCGCAAGTACCACAAATTTTGGCACCCACTTTGAATTTATAAGTAAAATATTGGCATATAAACGTGAAGTAGCCAATCTGAGACTTTTCGCTTTTGGAATAACACATATAGTACAACAGGTATAACTGTTTACACCACAATCAAAGTTCAGGCAGTTAAAAACCCCATCCTTTAGAAGTTCAATATGACACCTTATCTAATCTCTTACTAGCTTCAATTCTTTTCAACTATCACATGTTGGTATGCCCCTTCCCTTATGCGTTGGAAAAAGAGAAAAAAATAAAAATAAAAAGCACTCAATCACAAAAGGTCATATAACAAGCACAATGCTACTAAAACATTGTTTTAAAACTCATAATCATAAAACGTGACCGTAGAAAAATAGTTACGTGTCCTTCACACCAGAGCATTGCTCCATGAATTCGGGAAACACAACCATCGGCAAGTTTATTTAGATATACTAAGGGGATTTACGAATCGACTTCTACACATAATCTAACATTACAATACAAAAAACCGAGCAGAGATGAGCATCAAATACAGAAACTCACTTCTGTAACAATTTTGGCAATTCCAGACCTTTCAGCAGCCATTATATCTGGTCACTACAAAACAGATAAACAAAAGCTATAAGCATAGAGCCCACAAAGCTACCAAAAGACACATCCATTAAAAGAAAAAAGATGTAACTAAACAACCAATGATATCGATGGATAGAGATTGATTAGCGAGAAATAAACCCTAATTAAGATGCATAATAAGCAAAAAAATAGTTTGATTAATGTAGTGGAAGATCATAAATAAACAAAGGTGAGTTTGAGGAACGGGAAGGAGATACCAAGGCAAGCACAGCGCCGATCTACAAGTACCCAAAGCTCAACTTAACGTATTTATCGGAAAGAAAAACGTTATAGTATTCATTTATTATTTTATATACTTTAATTTAAGTTTTCTCGTTAATGAAATAAATTTTTAAATTACTTAATTTCTTATATTTATGAACCCATTGGCAGTATTCGAAATAATTATTAATATTTTTATAAAAAAATCGAAAAAAAAAACTGAACATTGATTGAATTACGGATGGAGAAAGATTGAAGAAAAAGATATTGATATTTCATTTTATTATTTTATTCATTTTTTAAATATTACCTTGTAATTATTTGTTAAAATTAAATATGAATAAAATATTGACAATAATAATATCTACGTAATCAACGTAAACATAATTATAAGAAACTATTTACGTCATATTACTTATATTGAAATTAATTAATTATCTTATAAATATTATATATACTATGTATTTTGAAATATAATTAATTAGGAATAATGGTTTCTCGTTTTTCATATATCGATTAACTTGAACTTTTTATTTGTTCGGTTCCGACTTTTCACATCTTAAATTTTAATTTGGAAACAGATGATAAGTAATTTTCAAAGGATGCGTTTTCCAAAGCTTTCCATTTTTATTAACATAACCCATACCATAATTGGATTTAGTTAAAATCGATATGAAATTTGATAGGCCGAAAGAAAACAACAAAAACTAATTTTCGTAATTTTTATTATTTTTTTGGGAACGGAATCAGTAGTATCATTATACGAATATAAAATTGTGTCAGGAAATAAAATTAATTTCTATGTTTTTTCCATTAATTAAAGCAAGGTATGTGAAAAAGGTAATCCTTACTTTTCCACCAGAAGTCTTATCCTTTCATCCACCACACGCTTCGCCCCATTGGAGAAAACATCAGTTCCTTTTCCATGGCAAGCCTTCAGTTAGCAACACCCTTCACGCGCTTCAGATGGGGGCAGCCCACACTCAAGGTCTCCACTGCTTCACGGCTGAACCCTCGGCAAGGGCATGGTTTGCGTCCACTGACTGTGAGGTCCTACAAAGTGGTGATTGAGCAGGAGGGACAGACCACTCCACTGGAAGTTGAAGCTGACGAGACCATACTGTCAAAGGCATTGGAATCAGGCTTGCCTGTGCCTCATGACTGCAAGCTTGGAGTTTGTATGACATGCCCTGCTCGTCTCATCAGTGGATCTGTTGATCAGAGTGAAGGAATGCTCAGCGATGATGTGGTGGAGCGAGGTTATACACTCTTGTGTGTCTCCTACCCTCAATCCGATTGTCATATTAAGGTTATCCCCGAGGAGGAGCTGCTGTCATTGCAGTTGGCCACAGCCAATGACTAGTCTGTGTTTGAGTTTTGAATGTAGAGTCGTTAATTCCAAGCTGCTGCTGATGCTTCTGATGCTGCTGGCTTTGGTTAACAGCGTTGAGTCTTTGCTTGTTTCTATATTCGATGATGTAGCTCTGGCTTTTTATATACTTCTGTTCTATTATGCAGTTTCTTATTGATGCATGAAACACAATTGTAGTTGTACAACATTTGATTCATACTAGAATAGACACCAACTTTCCAACAATGCTGATAAATGGTTATCTAGGATAGGAACCAAATGTGGTTATCGTTTTGCAATTTTATTTAAAAATTCCAAACCTTATTCACATATTACAAGGGTGGAATCCAAAGTGGTTTTTGAAGTTCACATTTACCGAATCATTCAAACCTACCTAGGCTAGCTAGCCTTACCAAGGTTTTAAAAAACTGTCAATACACAATTTTGGCCAAAACATCAAAAGTATTGAGGTCACCATGATCACAACTGCAGTCGCACATTTGTTGACTATTTCTCTCAACATCAAATATGGTGACAAGTAAAAGGATCCAAATTCCCTTCCATTTATATATATAGTGCCGAATAAAATGGAAACATCAGGTGATGCGGTTGAATGGTTTCTTGGGTCTCTGCTTAATCTTTACCTTAACGTTGATGCCATTGTCAATGATGGACTGCAGAACAATCTGAAGCTTTCCCTCCACCCTTTCTCCTTTCCTTGGAGTGTAAATCACGTCATGAATATCATCACCCAAAGCTCTTTGAGCGAGAATTGCCCCCACTGCCGCACAAGTGGTTTTGTTCTTGGTAGAAGCCAGGTCAAACTTGATGTCCTTGGAAATGGAATGTGCCACAGAAACAACCTTGCTCGTTACCCTGTGAACAAAGCAAGCACGAACAGAGGCTTTTGATATGAAAATGTCCAGGCAAAATGGTTCGTGGTAAGGACCCGTAAGCTGGTTAAACGTGGGAGTCCTCTGCCTCTTGTTCACACTAAGCCCATCATTGATCTCGTCCACACGGGGCACGGCACTTTTTCTTCTTGCCAATTCATCGACTCTGGGAACCTTGTGATCTTTGGAACCCAAATTTGGAGTTGTTGTAGCTTTTTTCACCTCCTCCTTTTTCTTGGAAGATTTCTTCCTGTGAAAATCGAAATTATACTCTTCAAACTCCTTGGAGCTGCGCTCAAGCTTATAAAAAAGGTTGCCACGAACTCTCATGTTATCTATCTCCTCAAAATCTAGTTCACCCTCAACATGATCATCAATGGCTTCATCGGTCTCTTGCGAACCAAAAGAAGTAGCTCTTGATGCAGGTCCCCTCCAGGCTTGTGCCACCCCAGATGAGACACGCCAAGTATCATGATCCACAAGTTCAACATCAAACCCAGTTGAGGGATGATTGAAGTCGGAGAAAATTGGAGAAAGATGGAGGCTGGTAGAGTATTCAGAAGGTGACACGGATGCAGAACTCGAGGCTGCGTCAACGTCTTTGGTTGGAAGGGTGGAGAGAGTCTTGAAGCAGAGATAGAATGTCCTGGAGAGAAGATGCTGATTGTATAAGGTGACACTCCTCCTTGCTAGCAAGGATAACATGACCAGAGATTTGAAAAGAGAAACTTTAAAAACAAGTTGATGCCAAATGCTAGCAGTAACAAAACACCGAACAGTTGGTGTGCAGACCGTCCTTTAAGTTCGGAGTAATTGCTTACAGAGACACAATCTAAAAGGAATACGGAAATTAATGAACAGATAGATTAAAGCAATCTGATATCTATTTGGTTCAAAACCAGTGAAACAAGTGCTGGAGTTAAGAGGACATTTTTCCTTTGCACTCTTCTCTTGCGCTGCGTATAGTGAATACTGCCATAAAATATAAACGAGTGCCGGTCAAATCAGTTTCATTATGTAGACGGATAATACTTTCATAAAGAAAATCTAAATATTTTTCGTTGTGTCAACAATTAATAATAATTATCATCATAATAAATAATCAACTAACAAATTATTTTGAAACGATTATGAAACATATGCAATGTCCTTTTATTAATTCCCAAAAAATAAAAAAAATATAATTATAAAAATAATGAACAATTTTTAAAATTTAATTATAAATAATTGTTATTTATTTTTTAAATGATTTGTATTTATTTAATTTAAAAAATAATTAAATTTAAAAAATCAGTTAAATTTAAAATAAATTGATAATTTAAAGGATAAAGTAAAAAAAAATAAGCACTAAAAAGAAAATCATTATATATATATATATATATATATTATTGGCTTATTGTAAAAAAAAAAAACTGTATATAGAGTGACTCTTGGATGTCAGCTATTTTTCTGTATTGTTTACTTGACATTATTATATTTCCAATAATATCCCATTTGTAACTTTTTCAGAATTCTAATTCACAATAATTATTATTTAAGTTTATAATATGTGTTCTGTTTATTATTGGATTATTTTAAGCATAATCTTTAAAGATTTTTTCTAAAAGACAAACAAACCAGACCATTCAAGTAGAGTTTTCTTTTAAATCACAAAACACTGATATTTCTTAGTGAAAAAAATACAATATATATATATGATACATAAGATTCTAACAAGAAGTTAAATTAATAAGCAAAATTCTTATTTGATTTATTACAGTAGACAAACTTTTAATTTTTGGATTTTTTTTATTAGATATAAAATAATCAACTATGAGTCTAATTCAAGTATAAATTTGATTTGACTCAATTTAAAATTAATTTAAAATTATCTTGACTTAAATTAATTTGATGAAATTCAGTACTAGGTTACTCGAACTCAACTTGATATGAGTCAATTCAATTGGATCTAATATATATTTGATTTGACTCGCTTTGAAATATTATTAACTTGACTTTCTCAAGTGTTTGACAACTCAATTCAGTCTAATTAAGTCTTGTTCAACTTAATCCAACCCATATCAACCTGAGGCCAACTCCAACAAACTTGGACTATATCTAACTAGATCCAACTCATGCACGACCCAACTTGGTAAACATAAACCTAACTTAAAACTGAACTTGACTTAACCTAAAATCACTTAACTCAATTTAGCCTGAACTTAACCCATCTTAACCTAACTTAAGCTCAATCTAATTAACGTCCATCTTGAGATTAGTTTGGCCTAACTCAAACTAAAAGCAACCCAACTTTATTCATATTATATTTGAATTTAGATTGAGTAAATATTTCGTGTATAAAAATTATTTGAAGTATCTTTATTTTCATTTTTAAACATTATTTTTACTAAAAAAAATCGTGGATTGACCCAAACTTACAGAGTTTTTGTTAACATTATGGCTCTATAAACTTTTTCTTGTATGGAATTATTGATCATGGAAACTATTTGGATGTTGCTTCCTCCACTACCACACCTTTCTCCCTCCACCTCCCATTTACTATTTTGCCCCTAAATAAAATTTTATTTTTAGGGTTATTTTTTAATTTTACCCATTCACAACCTATTCCACTAATAACCTATTGAGTAAAATACTTTTCTTTCATTTTAACATTATATTTCTTCCTCTCTCTCTTTCGTCGTTGTGAGATACTACAAGTTGCAAAGGTTGGTGGTGGTAGAAAGAATTATCGAACAGTCTCCCTCTCGTGGTGCAGTATGTGGAGTGGTGCAGTGCGTGTGTTGCTTCCTCAAGGTGCGTATTCGAATAAACCTTCAAATAAAATCCTAAAATAAAAAACGTAACCTTTAAGACATCCTTCAACGGATGTCAAAATACTTCAACAGATGTCAATATCCTTCAATGGATGTCAAAATCCTTCAACAGATGTCAACATCCTTCAACGGATGTCAACATCCTTCAACGGATGTTAACATCCGTTTAAGGTAAAACGGATGTCGGCATCCGTTTTTCCTTAAACGAATGTTGACATCCATTGAAGGATGTCAGCTCCGTTTAAAAGTTACGTTTTTTATTTTAGGGTTTGTTTTATTAGTTTATTCTTTATTTTGAAAATATTTTAATAATTTAATTTAAATGTTTTGATTTATTATTTTTGAATATATTTTTAATGTATTTTAATAATGTAAGGAAAATGAAGAAGAAAGAAACGAAGAAGGAGAAGTGAAACGGAGAAGCAGAAATTAGAGATAGAAAAATTGGGTGCACGGAGTAAAGTAGGAGAACTATGTTTGAAATAAATTAAAATAGTAAAAGTAAAAAGTTTTAATCTGAGATATAATTGGAATTAAAAAAAATTAGGGAGGTAGAGGGAAAAAGGTGTGGTGGTGGAGGGAGCAACACCCAAACTATTTTGACCCGATCCATGTGGGCCAAGATCAAGCCCAATGTGCTGGACCAAATTGAGGGTCTATAAAACAAACAAGGGCCGTCTAAAATAAATACATGACCAAAGTCTATGCCGAAGAACTTTGGCAGAAGCGGACCACAAGCCGAATACAAGGAAACACAGTTTCTTGCTTCCCTCAAAATCAATAGATTTATTCATGATACCGATATCAAATCACAACGCAGAAGCTTCTAAAGCCTTGAAAATTGACTCACATACAACGCAATTAAGCTCTGAAACGAAAACTTATGAGTATATCACAAGCAGTACAGAACTGGGTTATTCTGTTAGACCACAACAGTCTCGGAACTATCATCGGAAGCATTTAAGCCATTTTCATCAAGACATGTTTCATTGGAAGCAACTATTCGGTTCAAAATCAAATCCTTCCCATTTTCACATCCAAATTCAGAGTTGGAACCAGATCCCAGTCGCAACAAACTCTCATCGGCATGATTGAGAGCAGAAATGGAGACATCTGCATTTTGATTACTTCGCTTTAGAATAATATTCTCTTCTGATAAAATCCCTGAAGTAACAGTTTCAAGAGCGTCATTCATATAAGCCTCTTTAGTAGGTGGAGTATTGTCTGACTTTTGAGAATTCAAAACTGGACTAATGTCAAGCTCCAACGAATCACAATTCATAGCAGTGAACGAGTGACATTTGTTCTCAAGATTTTCTGCTGAACATGGATCAGAACAAGCAGTTTCCTGAACCAAAGCTTGAACATTTGGAATATCTTCTGGGTGATTTCTCACAGAAGTGGGATTTAATTTATCAACAGGAGGAGCAGCCACCACTTTATTCTTCATTTTTAGTGCACTGTGACTAGTTCTAGAAGGAGAAACACATTTATCTGAAACCGAATCAGACACCATTTCCTCAGAATGAGATTTCGAACAGAGAATCCCATCGACCAAAACTTGGTTTAGATATTGAGAAGCATCGCTGCATTCATCATTCGTCTCATTAACAGGATTTGAACTAACATCATCACTTCCACGAGGATCTTGTGGAGTTGAAGAACCCATATCTGACCTATTTCCCATTTTGGTATGGATAAAATCGTCATCTTCATGTCCAATTTTCTCAGAACCTGTTAGGAAAAAGTCAGTAAAACGTATGCACCAGCAAAAGTAACTCGCTGAAATTTGCTTTGAAAAAAACCAGCATCAACACCTGCAGTTTTATTACTTTCCACTAACAGCTTCTGTAACATATCAATACCAGGGAAGACCACTATATTCAGTGACCTCAGTTCTTGCCTGAGTGATTCGTCCAGATGTGTGAAGCCAAAAACTGTTGTCCATGCATGTGTTAGTTCAGCAATTGCAGGAATAACTAGTTTTTCGATCTTCATAGAGCAAAGGGCCTTCCAATCACGGAGAAACAAATAAGTATGGGTGTCAACAAAAGATGCATACAGAAAATCCCCAATCAAAGCTCTAACTAGATCTTACGTGTAAGCAAATCACAATGAATCATAGTTTAAAGGTTTACCAATTCAATGGAAGAGAAAAGCCGACGACACATCCCCTGACGCCTATATATATGACGAGTTCCAATGAATGGCATCTCAGCTATCTTAGTTCCGTGGAACCTAAGACACGGAAGTTAATACTTACATGTATACTCTCATTTATTCAGATTAAAAAAAATCACAAAGCAGCACAGTCTAAGGTTTAGTACCGGATAGATGCTGCAGCAATGATTTCATCCCCTCTCTCCAAGATAGCAGTGTAAAAGCCACCATAGTTCAACCGATTAAAGTTCGATCTGAAAACAAATAGAATGAGATGTCGCATAAATTAAAATATAGGATATCATGGTGAATTCATAATGTTTTGAACTTTTAATTCCTACTTACCCACTATTATATAAAATGTTACGGATTAAATTGATCCCACTCCTCCGATCAATAACAGGTAAAAAGCATTCATTCATCACAGTCAGCGCAATAGCCAACTTTGAATTGCATTCTACCATCTGAGTAATTCCTCTGCAACCTGCATCTGAGTCTTCATCTGTTCTATGAATGAGGGACCATGAAAAACCCGCTTCTAGTTCATGCTTGGTACCAAGATACTTCTTCAATTGTTCAGAAAGCTGTAGAAGTACAAAGAACATAACAATAACGAATTCAGAATCTGGGCTTAGCACAGCAGCTTTGAAAATTTTCATTTTAACAAACCACTAAAATATAAAAAAAAACACATAAGAAACAAATGAATATGTCTTGGAAGAAGTACATTCTATAGACTAGCGAACAATAAGTGGTGGTCCTCTCATGCATGCTGAATTATAAGGAAGAAAATGGTTAAATAAATGCATATACTTCATCAAGGTATACTTCAAAATTTTCAAAACGAGAAATAACTGAAAGATGTACCTCTCTGCACTCTCTCCCACAAAAAGAAAGATCTGATGTACTGAGGTTATTAGGAAGGGAATCCATCTCCTTAGCGCAAGAGTCATGATCTATGCAAATGGAAAGTACTTAATTAAAAGACGTCAAAGGGGAAAAACAGAAGAGACGTAAAGTAATGACCAATAGAATATATAAATATTGAAGAAACAACAAAAATATAAATGAGAGAAAGTGAATACATTTTTTCTCACATAAGTTGCAGGTATGTCCGGTAGGCACCGATGCATCATCTTTTTCAGAAAGTACACTGGCTATGCCACAAAATTTACAGGTGCAATTTGGACAATTCCATTCTCCAAGAGGAAGCATCTGCAACAACATAAATGAATTCCTCATGCAAAACAATCCTCCTAAAATAACCAATGTGTGTGTGTGTGTGTGTATATATATATATATATATATATATATATATANTACGTTTTTTATTTTAGGGTTTGTTTTATTAGTTTATTCTTTATTTTGAAAATATTTTAATAATTTAATTTAAATGTTTTGATTTATTATTTTTGAATATATTTTTAATGTATTTTAATAATGTAAGGAAAATGAAGAAGAAAGAAACGAAGAAGGAGAAGTGAAACGGAGAAGCAGAAATTAGAGATAGAAAAATTGGGTGCACGGAGTAAAGTAGGAGAACTATGTTTGAAATAAATTAAAATAGTAAAAGTAAAAAGTTTTAATCTGAGATATAATTGGAATTAAAAAAAATTAGGGAGGTAGAGGGAAAAAGGTGTGGTGGTGGAGGGAGCAACACCCAAACTATTTTGACCCGATCCATGTGGGCCAAGATCAAGCCCAATGTGCTGGACCAAATTGAGGGTCTATAAAACAAACAAGGGCCGTCTAAAATAAATACATGACCAAAGTCTATGCCGAAGAACTTTGGCAGAAGCGGACCACAAGCCGAATACAAGGAAACACAGTTTCTTGCTTCCCTCAAAATCAATAGATTTATTCATGATACCGATATCAAATCACAACGCAGAAGCTTCTAAAGCCTTGAAAATTGACTCACATACAACGCAATTAAGCTCTGAAACGAAAACTTATGAGTATATCACAAGCAGTACAGAACTGGGTTATTCTGTTAGACCACAACAGTCTCGGAACTATCATCGGAAGCATTTAAGCCATTTTCATCAAGACATGTTTCATTGGAAGCAACTATTCGGTTCAAAATCAAATCCTTCCCATTTTCACATCCAAATTCAGAGTTGGAACCAGATCCCAGTCGCAACAAACTCTCATCGGCATGATTGAGAGCAGAAATGGAGACATCTACATTTTGATTACTTCGCTTTAGAATAATATTCTCTTCTGATAAAATCCCTGAAGTAACAGTTTCAAGAGCGTCATTCATATAAGCCTCTTTAGTAGGTGGAGTATTGTCTGACTTTTGAGAATTCAAAACTGGACTAAAGTCAAGCTCCAACGAATCACAATTCATAGCAGTGAACGAGTGACATTTGTTCTCAAGATTTTCTGCTGAACATGGATCAGAACAAGCAGTTTCCTGAACCAAAGCTTGAACATTTGGAATATCTTCTGGGTGATTTCTCACAGAAGTGGGATTTAATTTATCAACAGGAGGAGCAGCCACCACTTTATTCTTCATTTTTAGTGCACTGTGACTAGTTCTAGAAGGAGAAACACATTTATCTGAAACCGAATCAGACACCATTTCCTCAGAATGAGATTTCGAACAGAGAATCCCATCGACCAAAACTTGGTTTAGATATTGAGAAGCATCGCTGCATTCATCATTCGTCTCATTAACAGGATTTGAACTAACATCATCACTTCCACGAGGATCTTGTGGAGTTGAAGAACCCATATCTGACCTATTTCCCATTTTGGTATGGATAAAATCGTCATCTTCATGTCCAATTTTCTCAGAACCTGTTAGGAAAAAGTCAGTAAAACGTATGCACCAGCAAAAGTAACTCGCTGAAATTTGCTTTGAAAAAAACCAGCATCAACACCTGCAGTTTTATTACTTTCCACTAACAGCTTCTGTAACATATCAATACCAGGGAAGACCACTATATTCAGTGACCTCAGTTCTTGCCTGAGTGATTCGTCCAGATGTGTGAAGCCAAAAACTGTTGTCCATGCATGTGTTAGTTCAGCAATTGCAGGAATAACTAGTTTTTCGATCTTCATAGAGCAAAGGGCCTTCCAATCACGGAGAAACAAATAAGTATGGGTGTCAACAAAAGATGCATACAGAAAATCCCCAATCAAAGCTCTAACTAGATCTTAAGTGTAAGCAAATCACAATGAATCATAGTTTAAAGGTTTACCAATTCAATGGAAGAGAAAAGCCGACGACACATCCCCTGACGCCTATATATATGACGAGTTCCAATGAATGGCATCTCAGCTATCTTAGTTCCGTGGAACCTAAGACACGGAAGTTAATACTTACATGTATACTCTCATTTATTCAGATTAAAAAAAATCACAAAGCAGCACAGTCTAAGGTTTAGTACCGGATAGATGCTGCAGCAATGATTTCATCCCCTCTCTCCAAGATAGCAGTGTAAAAGCCACCATAGTTCAACCGATTAAAGTTCGATCTGAAAACAAATAGAATGAGATGTCGCATAAATTAAAATATAGGATATCATGGTGAATTCATAATGTTTTGAACTTTTAATTCCTACTTACCCACTATTATATAAAATGTTACGGATTAAATTGATCCCACTCCTCCGATCAATAACAGGTAAAAAGCATTCATTCATCACAGTCAGCGCAATAGCCAACTTTGAATTGCATTCTACCATCTGAGTAATTCCTCTGCAACCTGCATCTGAGTCTTCATCTGTTCTATGAATGAGGGACCATGAAAAACCCGCTTCTAGTTCATGCTTGGTACCAAGATACTTCTTCAATTGTTCAGAAAGCTGTAGAAGTACAAAGAACATAACAATAACGAATTCAGAATCTGGGCTTAGCACAGCAGCTTTGAAAATTTTCATTTTAACAAACCACTAAAATATAAAAAAAAACACATAAGAAACAAATGAATATGTCTTGGAAGAAGTACATTCTATAGACTAGCGAACAATAAGTGGTGGTCCTCTCATGCATGCTGAATTATAAGGAAGAAAATGGTTAAATAAATGCATATACTTCATCAAGGTATACTTCAAAATTTTCAAAACGAGAAATAACTGAAAGATGTACCTCTCTGCACTCTCTCCCACAAAAAGAAAGATCTGATGTACTGAGGTTATTAGGAAGGGAATCCATCTCCTTAGCGCAAGAGTCATGATCTATGCAAATGGAAAGTACTTAATTAAAAGACGTCAAAGGGGAAAAACAGAAGAGACGTAAAGTAATGACCAATAGAATATATAAATATTGAAGAAACAACAAAAATATAAATGAGAGAAAGTGAATACATTTTTTCTCACATAAGTTGCAGGTATGTCCGGTAGGCACCGATGCATCATCTTTTTCAGAAAGTACACTGGCTATGCCACAAAATTTACAGGTGCAATTTGGACAATTCCATTCTCCAAGAGGAAGCATCTGCAACAACATAAATGAATTCCTCATGCAAAACAATCCTCCTAAAATAACCAATGTGTGTGTGTGTGTGTGTATATATATATATATATATATATATATATATATAAACAAACACAAAACATACACACACATGTATACATCAATTACATTACAAAAATAAAGTTAAGTATGCAATTACAATGAGTTAGTAGTAACACCTCAGTCAAAGTCTCAATGATACAATATTCTAGTTTTGGTGAACACTTGCTCTACTTCAGTGAGAAAACCTATTCAACACGCCCACTAGATATAACAGAAGTTAAAGGGCCATAAATTAAATTATAGAAGTCCCCATACAATATAATATAGGAAGGTGAGTTTTTTCATTGAATGAATGAACTTTTAGCTGCAGCGGACAAACTCGACAATATAAGTATTCAGTAAACACAAGTTTTGTCCAGCATTAATAAGAACGTATCTCGGTCCCGTTGACATCATAACAACTAAGCAACCAACAAAAGCACATAAGTGACTCCTTCGACCACCCCAAAAATAATCGATAAACCAAGCGACATCTGGAAGAGAAACTTAAATTTCACATGTAACTGTTCACCGAGAGACAGTGCAAAATCACGAAAAAAAGAAAAAACGAAAAATATGTTCTGACAATATGTTGCGAAGTGACAACCATGACACATGACAAATAAAATATGCCCACATACCTGTATATTCAAGCAGCTCTGATGAAATGTTGATGGACAACTATCACAACAGATTAAATCCCCTCCATCAGCACATATACCACAAGTATCATCATTTGGATCATCACCATTAATATCTACAGAATGGAAACCAAGTTTTTCAGAATTCTCTTGTCTATTCCATGCATCTATTTGACACTGTAGAAGAGAAACTCCAGATTCCAAAAATATATTTTGATATGGCTGTGGCAATTTGCTTCCTGCATGAAGCTCAAACTTTGAAACTGTGAGGATCTTACTACAGCAGCCACAATGTATACCATCTCTTGTGATCCACCCCTCCAGCAGGACTTTCTTCCGTCTGCGGTACTGAACTTTTTGGCTTAACTCTACTGCTCCTGAGTCAATCAACCAGGCAGGAACTGTCCGTTTTCCCATATATGGGACAAAGCCATCAGATTCTGAATTTGATCTTTCATTAGAACTGCGAACTAACAAGGTACTTCTTCCGTGCTTATTACTCTTCCGTCCATGTATACGAAGATCACATCCAGATGATTTTTCTATTCCGTCAATTGAGTGATGGGTAGCATTCTGGATTTTAGACCGAGCACTGATAACGTTACTATCAAACATTTTATTTTTCATTGACTTACTTCCCTGTTTTATAAAGGAGCTTAATTTCTCCTCATTGTTATCACTATCAGTGCTATTCATATCATGCTTGTTGCTGGCAGATCTTATTTGAGGCTCTTTCTCATTATCACTTTCACTATCATATTTTTTCTTCTTGTTTTTCAATTCTTTCTCCATTTTTTTCCTAGTTTTCCTTGTTAGCTGACTGAGCACCTCATCTGCAATAGGANGTGTGTGTGTGTGTGTGTATATATATATATATATATATATATATATATATAAACAAACACAAAACATACACACACATGTATACATCAATTACATTACAAAAATAAAGTTAAGTATGCAATTACAATGAGTTAGTAGTAACACCTCAGTCAAAGTCTCAATGATACAATATTCTAGTTTTGGTGAACACTTGCTCTACTTCAGTGAGAAAACCTATTCAACACGCCCACTAGATATAACAGAAGTTAAAGGGCCATAAATTAAATTATAGAAGTCCCCATACAATATAATATAGGAAGGTGAGTTTTTTCATTGAATGAATGAACTTTTAGCTGCAGCGGACAAACTCGACAATATAAGTATTCAGTAAACACAAGTTTTGTCCAGCATTAATAAGAACGTATCTCGGTCCCGTTGACATCATAACAACTAAGCAACCAACAAAAGCACATAAGTGACTCCTTCGACCACCCCAAAAATAATCGATAAACCAAGCGACATCTGGAAGAGAAACTTAAATTTCACATGTAACTGTTCACCGAGAGACAGTGCAAAATCACGAAAAAAAGAAAAAACGAAAAATATGTTCTGACAATATGTTGCGAAGTGACAACCATGACACATGACAAATAAAATATGCCCACATACCTGTATATTCAAGCAGCTCTGATGAAATGTTGATGGACAACTATCACAACAGATTAAATCCCCTCCATCAGCACATATACCACAAGTATCATCATTTGGATCATCACCATTAATATCTACAGAATGGAAACCAAGTTTTTCAGAATTCTCTTGTCTATTCCATGCATCTATTTGACACTGTAGAAGAGAAACTCCAGATTCCAAAAATATATTTTGATATGGCTGTGGCAATTTGCTTCCTGCATGAAGCTCAAACTTTGAAACTGTGAGGATCTTACTACAGCAGCCACAATGTATACCATCTCTTGTGATCCACCCCTCCAGCAGGACTTTCTTCCGTCTGCGGTACTGAACTTTTTGGCTTAACTCTACTGCTCCTGAGTCAATCAACCAGGCAGGAACTGTACGTTTTCCCATATATGGGACAAAGACATCAGATTCTGAATTTGATCTTTCATTAGAACTGCGAACTAACAAGGTACTTCTTCCGTGCTTATTACTCTTCCGTCCATGTATACGAAGATCACATCCAGATGATTTTTCTATTCCGTCAAATGAGTGATGGGTAGCATTCTGGATTTTAGACCGAGCACTGATAACGTTACTATCAAACATTTTATTTTTCATTGACTTACTTCCCTGTTTTATAAAGGAGCTTAATTTCTCCTCATTGTTATCACTATCAGTGCTATTCATATCATGCTTGTTGCTGGCAGATCTTATTTGAGGCTCTTTCTCATTATCACTTTCACTATCATATTTTTTCTTCTTGTTTTTCAATTCTTTCTCCATTTTTTTCCTAGTTTTCCTTGTTAGCTGACTGAGCACCTCATCTGCAATAGGAGAAAAAGAAGAACTATCCCCTTTGGCCTTGACCTCATTAGCATCATCATTCAATTGCTTTTGAAGCGCGTCATAGGCCTTGATGATAGACCAATAGGCTGTACCTACCGGATTAATGTAAACTGCATCCAGGTAGTCTCTGTTCCTTCGAGGTCTATAGTCTATGGTCCAACCTGAAGTCAGCAGCATCTCCCTTATTCGCTCTCGCAATTTCTGTTTTTCTGTACCACTACCACGCTTGATTTTTCCTTCTTTCGCTTTTGTAGTTGAGAGTTTATCATGCAAAGGAGTCTGTTCATCCTCGGAGAACATCTTTTTTACAGGCTTAGCAGCTTCAGCATTTCTTACCCCGGGATTCAATGATGTGTCACTGTTATCTGAATCCCCTTCATCACCTTTGCTATCCTTGCTTGACAAAGATTTTCTTGATGCTATCTGTTTCTTCTCCGGCCTCTTGAGTAACCCTGGTTTCTCAACAGGTTTTGTTTCCAAGTATGATGAAGGACGAGTTGGAGCATTCCACTTGGCAGTCTCTTCAGTCTTCATTCTCTTGGTGGGCTCTTCAGTTTCCAACCTTCTCCTGCTTTCCACAGTTTTGTGATGATCGTAATATTGTTTGGATTGCCCGCACACCTTCTTATTAATCATTACTTTCAAAACACCATTTTTCCCCTGAACCCTAATAGACTCATTGGAATTAAACTTCTCCCTCTGCAAGGGTATAGGTAACCGAACGCCGTCTCTGTTACTCTTGAACCTAATGTGATCAACATGATCTCCTGGAAACAAGCCACTAGGCCTGTCAACATAAGAGTTATTTCGCTTATCAAGAAGACGTCCACTTGACCCATTTTTTAATTCCCTATCAATGCCACTCCTAGTAGCATGCTCCGATCCCATAAAACTTCTTCCTCCAAAACCAACTCCATTACCATCCAAATGCCTCCTCCTCATGTTCTCCACATCCATACCATCATATTCTTCGAAATTGTATGCATCCAACTTACTTCGCTTAGTTACCCACTGCTCCAAACCTTTATCCGCACCCCTAATTCTTTCCATTCTGTCCCTCTTCCGACTAATTTCACTCCCACCCCGCTCAGAGGCAGCCAAACCATTGCAAACTCGAATAGTCTCAGACCCAAGCCTTCTACCAGGAGGAATCAGCAACTCGTCACTTGATCCAGAATCACTCACGGACGCACTGAGGTTGGTCCTTTTCTTCGATTCATAGAGCTTCCTAGACGTGGAAGCAGTAGCACCCAACCCATCCCCTTTCTTTCGCACAATTAAACAACCTGAGGAATTTCTGCTCTTCACCACAACCCCAGAACCACCCGATCTCCCTTCCGATTCCATCTACCAAAGCCCCTAGCCAAAATTAGCATCCCCCACCCAAAACTAAACCCTAATATCCAGATCTAAAGCGAAATCGCTCTCAATTTTACACACTTATCCCCTTTCCCCGGACCAAAGCAAAATTTCAACGAAATCTTACCTCGCCAGAAAATTCACGGATTCCGTCCTCGGAATAAATTGTGCGATGCGAATAATCCCTGCCGAAAAAACCCAAGTGATTCGAGGGCGACCTAACTCTGAGAGAAATTGAAACGAAAATCAGTGAGAGACAGAAAGGGGAAGAGAGATTTTTGGGTTGATTTGCAGAAGCAGCGACTAAGTTAATATCGTTAATCAATCGATAATAACAAAAAAATGTAAAAGAAAAAAAAAAGTAAACAGAAAACAATGTCAGCTGCTCATCTTTTTGTTTTGCTTATTTTATTTTCCCTCCAAATTTTGTCTTTTGTTGAATCCTACGCTTCTGATGCCGCCATCTCACATATCTTGTACGTGGCAAAATCACAACGGTTTCCATGACTGTTTATACAGTTTTTCCTAAGCTTGGGTTGAGTACTGTTTCTTGATAAATGAGTCTTCTACAGGATTTTGAGAGAGACGTTACAAATCAGTTTTTTTTTTTTACAAAACACGAGTTTCCTTTTTTTACAACAGATACTTTAAAATCAGTTAAACTAAGCTGAATTGATTCGAGTGAATTAAATCGAAAAATGCTTTATTTAAATTAAACAAAAAACAGTTTAAACAAATTAAAATGAGAAATTTTTATAGTTCAATTAATTATAATCATTACTTTTTCAATTTATACAGCTTAGTACCAATCAATTCCATAATAGAAATCTAATTGCAGTGTAACAAAATATTCAATCCAATTAGTAATTTAAATTTACTAATTGGATTTCTTCATTGAATGAATAAATAAAATTATAAAATACATTATGTCTGTAAAAGTCATTTTTTTAAAATTTTTTGATTTATTTTTATCAGTTTTCATTTAAGTTCTCTGTTCTGATTAAAGAATCAAAATCATAATTCATCCTGATAACAAACATTCATCCTGATAGCAAACTCTGTTTTATCTACCTTTTCATGGAAGTCTTTTGTGGATTCATGTAATCTTTAAGTCTTTTATAAAATTATCTAGTGAATTACTATAGTCATTGTCACAATAAAATAATTAGTTACAAAAACGCTATTATAATTGTTAGAAAATCATGTCTCTAAAATCAGTTATATATATATATATATATATATATAGAGAGAGAGAGAGAGAGAGAGAGAGAGCAGTATAGATGCCTGATACACATGAAAAGTGTGGACTTTAATTGCAGAAAGTAAAAAAGTACAAGATAAAAATCTATCGTGAAATACAATTGTTATTTGCTGCACAGGGCACACCAAATTCTACAAATATGACAGAAATGGAGCACAAGCCGAATACAACGAGCTCGAATTGGAATGCAAGAAACATAATTCTTGCTTTCCAAAATTACTCATTAAATACAGTCAAGTCATATTAAACACAAGCTACCAATCTGTGTAAAAAGGGAGTAAAAAACACCATAAAAAAATCTCTGTAAAAAATTTGCTCACAGTACAATTGCTTGTCATACGATTGCTGAATTGCTGCGGACATTGGTGAAACCCGTATCCACTCTACCACATTCAGATATATACAATAGGAACCGCACAATCGTCTAATGCAACTCAAAGTATTTGCTTCTGTTGAAGAACCGTTGCATATTACTTCCCAGTAACTTTACCTATTAGGGTACATGCAACAGGTCTGGCGCCAGATGCAGTTGACTATTTTCGAAAGACGAAACATTGACATACAATGAAGTTAGCTAATCTTAACCTTGAAAATTCACCCACAAATGACAAGGGACCAAACAATATTTCCTTCAAAACCATCGGAACGAATTCATAATGCCTGATCAAATCACAACGTAGAAGCTTCAAAAGCCTTGAAAATTGACTTGCACAGAAGCAATGATGCTCTGAAAAAAAAACCTAGCTAATGATAACATATGGAGTAGTCATTCTGCTAGAACAGAACAGTATCAGAATTATCGCCAGAAGAGTTTACAGCACGTACATCCTTCTCATTTTCACATCCAATTTCATTTTTGGAATCAGATCCTACCTGCAACAAACTCTTATCGGCAAGTTTGAGAGCAGAACTGGAGACATCTATATTCTGATCATTCCCCTTTCTAATATTCTCCTCCAATAAACTCCTTGAAGAAACAGCTTCAAGGGAGTCCTCCATACGAACCTCTTTAGTAGGTGAAGTATCGCCTGCCTTTGGAGAACCCACCACTGGATTAATGTCAGGCTCTGACGAGTCACAATTCATAGCAGTGAATGCGTGACCTTTCTTGTCCAGGTTTTCCTGTGAACATGGATCAGACGAAGAAGTTTCCTGAACCAAACCTTTAACATTTGGAATATCTTCTGAGTCACTCACAGATGTGTCATTAGGAGAAATGGATTCGCATTTTGAAGGAGGATTTAATTTATCAACAGGAGGAGCAGCATCCACTTTATTCTTCATTTCTAGTGCACTGTGACTAGTCCTAGAAGGAGAAATACATTTATCAGAAACTGAATCAGACACCATTTCCTCGGAATCAGATTTGGAGCTGAGAGTTCCATCAACCATAACTTGATTGTTAAGTTCTTGAGAAGCATCGCTGCATTCATCATTCGTCTCATTAGCAGGATTTGAACTAGCATCATCACTTCCATGAGGATTTTGTTGAGGTAAAGAACCCATATCTGACCCATTTCCCATTTTGGTATGGTTAAAATCATTACCTCCATTTCCCATTTTCTCAGAACCTGTCAGGAAAAAGAAAGTAAAACTTACTTTCAGGGAAAGCAACTTTTGAAATTTTTAAAACAAATACAGCAATAACACATGCAGTTTTATTACCTTCATGTTTTTCTTGTTCAACCAACCGCTTTTGTAACATATCTATACCAGGGAAGACCATCATATTAAGTGACTTCATTTCTTGCCTGAGTGAATTGTCTAGACGTGTGAAGCCAAAAACCGTTGTCCATGTATGCGTGAGTTCAGCAATTGCAGGAATAACTAGATTTTCAACTTTCAGAGTGCAAAGGGCCTTTCAATCAAGGAGGAACAAATAAGATAAGAATGTGTCAATGTCAATAAAAGATGCATGCAAAAGGATCCCAACCAAAATTTTAAATAGATTTTAGGTACAACGAAATCACAAAGAGCTATAGATTCAAGGTTTACCGATTCAATGGCAGAAAAGAGCCGGCGGCACATCCCCTGGCGCCTATATACATGGCGAGTTCCAATGAATGGCATCTCTGCTATCTTAGTTCCATGCAACCTAAGACAGGAAAGTAAATACTTACATGTATACTCCCACACTGACATAAAAAATATAGAGCACCAAAGATATAGATTATGAGAGTGAGAAAGATCAAGAAAAACAGCCATGGCCTTCTACCATTATTTAGGCTAAATAAATCAGTAAAACTGAATGTTACTTTCAAGAAGGTTGAAACAAGAACAAGTGGCTGCCCAATGCCACTCATGCTTTACTTGTTACAAAGTATTATGGCATTGTTGTATAAAAGCCATAGGACTAGGGTACTGCCAAACTTATGAATCCTATCTCCTCACCGTTGTCACATTAGTAATTTCTTACACAATTTAACAGACTAGTGTATGAAAAAATGAAGCTCTCTCTTAAGCAGCCACACTGGTGTATGATAGTTAGCAAATTCAAAAGACTAGTCATAAAAAAAGAAAAGCTCTCTCTAAAGCAAGTGAAGTATGCCAATGAATATTTTACATTATAATGAATTTCATTCTACATGATTAAAACAAACTCTCTAAGTAACTACAATGTTATTTTTTCTTCCTTGACAAGTGTCAACTATTCATCTTTCTTAGTTCCCCTCACTTTTCTATGGTAGATCTGTAATTGGGTAGACTTTTCAATTAATTGCAACTGAAAATCCTTTCACCATCCCAAAGTCTACTATATCAGCAGTTTTCCCTCTTGAAAAGGGAAGGTCAGACATCCAGAAAATGAATCCGCAAGGCAAAGTATGAGTCTTGGTACCTGATAGATGCCGCAGCAATTATTTCATCCCCTTTTTCCAAAATAGCAGCGTAAAATCCACCATAGCTCAACCGACTAAAGTTTGACCTGAAAATGAATAGAAAGCCAAAATTAGACAGAGAAAAACAGTTAAGGCTAGCACCATATGGCGGAAAAAAAAACATACACAGAAAGAGTAACTTTGATTTATTATTTTAATGGACTTCAAGCACAATGTCAAGGTGCATGACTATACCATTCTATTAACACCCCCAAGCTACCATTGTTGCTTGAAACCTTTTTATCAGTTTTATTACTTCTTTCATTTATGATCTTCTGCTTAACTTGAATGGTTGACTGACGAAGGGGAGGGAATAGATATATACTAAGATTTGTTGTCTGGTTCAAATGTTAGGAAGGGAACAAAATTCCCCATTGTCAAATTTTTGCTCCCTCCAATATTGGGGTATAAGGAGATGGAAAACATTTGACTGAAGTGTTTTTATTTGTGCGTTGATACCCAACATTATAAGGGTATATGAAAATAAATTAATTATTAAATCTTTCACGTGCCCTCTTCATAACTTAAAACTCACCAACTAAAACATCAAAATAACCCAAAAAACATAAACGTCCCCTCTTCAAACCCTAATTTTACATCTGAAAAAGCTTTCAAATTTTATCTAGTTTCCACTATTTTTTTTCTTTCTAAACTTAATTTTTTTCATATTTCAACTATACCATAAACCCAAAAATATCTGGACTAAAACTAATAATTTGATGGCTTTATGTTGACGAAAATCAACAAGGAGATCAAATTTGCTTAATTTATAAAATAAACGACTTAATTAGCTTGGGAAAAAATTTTGGAGACCAAAACCAAACAATCTAAATAGAGGGACCAAGAGTGCAAATATGCAATTCAGCTTAAATTAATCATGTGCAAAGTCTGTCAGTATTAAAAGTTAAAACAACAAAATGGAACACATTAATCAATTTACTTAAAGATTTCTAAATGCTGAAAACTATAACATACTTAATCAGACATTGGAACTAAATGAGAGGTCTAATGAATAAAACATAAGGTATGATGGTTCATTCATAATGTTTAACTAGAGCTCACCCAGTATTATATAAAACATTGCGGATTATATTGATCCCACTTCTCCTATCAATAACAGGTAAAAAGCATTCATCCATGACAGCCAGTCCAATAGCCAACTTTGAATTGCATTCTACTCTCTGGGTAATTCCCCTGCAAGCTGCCTCTGAGTCTTCATCTGTTCTATGAATGAGAGACCATGAAAACCCCCCTTCTAGTTCATGCTTGGTACCAAGGTATTTCTTCAAGTGTTCAGAAAGCTGTAAAAGTACAATATAACAATAATAACAAGTCAGAATCTGGCCTTACCATAGCAGCACAACAAACGTTCACTTCTATTTTTACTATTCTTCCTTGGAAAATTATCATACTGAGAAACAATTAAAATACACAATCCTCCAAAAGAAAGTTACTCTAAGAGTCTTGAAAGAAACACAAATTCCACGGACTAGTGCAGAAGTATAAGTGGTACTCATGGATGCTGAATTATACAGTATGAAATTGTTAAAGAAATATGCATTTTTCAAGCTATATTTCAGAACTTGGAAAACAAGAAACAACTGTAAGAGGTACCTCTTTACACTCTTTCCCACAGAAAGAAAGGTTTGAAGTATTCAAGTAATTAGGATGGGTATCCATCTCCTCAGAGCAAGAGTCATGATCTATGCAAAGGAAAAATATAACTTAAATGTAAGTCAAAGGAAAAAAAAATAAGGGATATAAACATATTGAAGAAACATCAAGTACAAATGAGAGAAAGTGAATACATTTTTTCTCACATAAGTTGCATGTCCGTAGGACATACACAAATGCATCATCTTTTTCAGAAGTCCTAGTGGCTATGCCACAAAATTTACAGGTGCAATTTGTACAATGCCATTCACCAGGAGGAAGCATCTGCAACAACATAAATGGATTACTAATGAAGAAAACCATCCTCCTATAATTAACATTAAGTAATCATGTTACTAAAATAAGGTACAGAGTGCAATTGCAACAAGTCAATAACACCTCCGAGAAAGTGTCAATAATAGATTGGTTTTTGTGTACAGGAACAAGTGAGAAAAGCAATACAAAAAGCCAAAAGATATAAAGAAGTTAAAGAGTCCTGTTGTATCATTGACTTTTAGTTATAAAAACTATTGTATAGGTAGGTAATTTTTCTTTTACTGCACTTTTCTTCACAATGGAAAAACTAAACAATGTCAGTATTCAGCACGCACAACTTCTGTCTAAGGATACAACTTTATAGCATTCCTCTACAGACAATGCAAAAACATAACAAATCTTCAGTCCCCTAGATGTCATAGCAATAAAGCTCCCAAAAAATAGATATTATCGTTCCACTTCCACCACCCCAAACAAAAATTACACAAACCAAATGGCATCGGAAAGGGCAACTATGCAAGAGACTGTGCAAGACAATTCAGAGAACAATATAAATTCAATATGCTACTGTTCACCATAAGACTCTGCAAGACAAATCAGATAATTGTATACAAACTACGTTGAAAAGTGAGAATCATAACAAGACATATGGAGAAAAAATATGAAAACATACTTGGATATCCAAGCAGCTCTGATGAAATGTTGATGGACAACCATCACAACAGATTAAATCCCCTCCATCTCCACATATACCGCATGTATCATCATTTGGATCATTACCATCAATATCCACAGAATGGAAACCAATTTTTTCAGAATGCTCTTGTCTATTCCATGCATTTATTTGGCATTGTAGAAGAGAAACACCGGATTCCAAATATATATTTTGATATGGTTGTGGCAATTTGCTTCCTGCATGAAGCTCAAACTTTGAAACAGTAAGGATCTTACTGCAGCAGCCACAATGAATGCCATCTCTTGTGATCCACCCCTCCAGCAGGACCTTTTTCCGTCTGCGGTACTGAACCTTTTGGCTTAGCTCTACAGTTCCAGAGTCAATTAACCAGGCAAGAACTGTCCTTTTCCCCACATATGGGACAAAGCCATCAGATTCCGAATTTGATCCTTTGTTAGAACTGCGAACTAACAAGGTACATCTTCCGTGTTTTTTACTCTTCCGTCCGTGTATATGAGGATCACCTCCAAATGATGATTTTTCCATTCCATCACTTGAGTGATGGGTAGCATTCTGGATTTTAGTGCGAGCACCGGTAATGATATTTTCGGACATTTTACTTTTCATTGACTTACTTCCCTGCTTTATAAAGGAGCTTAATTTCTCCTCGTTGCTGTCACTGTCCGTGCTATTCATATCACACTTGTTGTTGCTGGCAGATCTCTTTCTTTGAGGCTCTTTTTCGTTACCACTTTCACTATCATATTTTTTCTTCTTCTTTTTCATTTCTTTCTCCATTTTCTTTCTAGTTTTCCTTGTTAGCTGACTGAGCACCTCATCTGCAATAGGAGAAAAAGAAGAACTATCCCCTTTGGCCTTGACCTCATTAGCATCATCATTCAATTGCTTTTGAAGCGCATCATAGGCCTTGATGATGGACCAATAGGCTGTACCTGCTGGGTTAATGTAAACTGCATCCAGGTAGTCTCTGTTCCTTCGAGGTCTATAGTCTATAGTCCAACCTGAAGTCAGCAGCATCTCCCTTATTCGCTCTCGCAGTTTCTGCTTTTCTGTACCACTGCCACGCTTGATTTTCCCATCTTTTGTTCCTGTGGTGGGGAGTTTTTCGTGCACAGGTGTCTGCTCATCCTCCGAAATTACTTTTTTTGCAGGCTTATGAGTTTCAGTATTTCTTATTCCCGGATTCAGTGATGCGTCACTGTTATCTGAATCCCCCTCATCACGCTTACTGTCCTTGCTTGACAAGGATTTTTTGGGCGTTATCCGTTTCTTTTCTGGCCTCTTGACTAATCTTGGTTTCTCAACAGGTTTTGTTTCCATGTATGATGAAGGACGACTTGGAACATTCCTCTTAGTCTCTTCAGCCTTTATCCTCTTGGTAGGCTCTTCGGTTCTTAACCTTTGCCTGCTTTCAACAGGCTTGCGATGATCATAATACTGTTCTGATGGCCCACGCACCTTCTTCTTATTAACCATTACCTTCAAAACACCATTCTTCCCCTGAACCCTAATGGACTCATCTGAATTAAACTTCTCCTTCTGCGGGGATACAGGTGCCCGAGTACCATCCCTGTTCATCTTGAACCTACTGTGCTCAACATCATCCACCGGAAACAAGCCACTAGGCCTGTCACCATAGGAGTCCTTTCTCTTATCGAGAACTCGTCCACTTGAACCTGCTTTGAATTCCCTATCAACGCCATTTCTAGCAGCGTGCACTGGTCCCATAAACCTTCCTCCTCCGTGACCAACTCCATTATCATCTAAATGCCTCCTCCTTGTGTTTTCCACACCCATTCCATCATATTCATCAAAATCATATACATCCAACTTACTACGCTTCCTGTCCCTCGGGTCCAAACCTTTCTCCGCCGCAATACCTTCCCCAGTTACCCTAATTCGTTCCACTCTGTCCCTTTTCCGACTAACTTCATTCCCACCCCGCTCAGATGCAGCCAAACCATTGCAAACTCGAATAGTCTCAGGACCGAGCCTTCTACCAGGAGGAATCAGCAGCTCGTCGCTTGATCCAGAATCACTCAGGGAAACGCTGATATTGGCCCTTTTCTTGGATTCATAGAGCTTCCGAGACGTGGAAGCAGTAGCACCCAATCCATCCCCTTTCTTTCGCACAATTAAACAACCCGAGGAGTTTCTGCTCTTCACCACAACCCCAGAACCACTCGATCTCACGCCTGGTTCCATCTACCAAAGCCCCTCGCCCAAAATTAGCATCACCCGCAATCAAAACTAAACCCTAATTCCCAGATCTGAAGCCAAACCAATCCTAATTCTTCAAGGTTCCTCCCTCCCCTCGGACCAAAGAAAAATTTCAACGGTATCTTACCTCGCCGGAAAATCAACGGATTCCGTCCCTCGCAGTAAATTGTGTTATGCGAGTGGGACGCAAGTCCCCGCCGAAAAGCCCAAATTGATCCGAGAGCCACCCAAGCCGGAAAGAAATTAAAAGAAAATTAACAAGAGAGAGATGTTTGGGTTGCGATTTCCAGATGCAATACATACCGTGTTTTCTTTGAATATAAAAACTCTTTTATCTTGTTCGGAGTTCTTTAATTTAGATAATAATACTAAATTTATTATTCAATTTTATTATCTTTTTCCTATTTAATTATTTTTAACTTCATTAATTACCGTGTTAATTTTTTTATAAAGGAAAACATTTTTATTTATTTAAATATAATTAAGATTTGGCCAACATTTAATTGATAAAGAATAACTCTAAAAAATTAAAAAGACTTAAATCCATTATTATGATTCCACAAATGTTCAAATTTAATATTTATAAGATTGTAAGTATGGAATTAATCTTTAAACTTCTTTGATTGAGGACTTTAATACACCGTAGAGACTAAATTGAATTTAAGAAAAAGAATATTAAAGTGTGTTTAATTAATATATGACAACTTCAAAAAAATTAAATAACACATATAGTTATTTTGTTGGCTCAATAGATATCATAATATTTACTTTTTAGAAACAGAGTATAATCTTAGGAAAATGACACTTGAACAACCATGTTTGACAACATTTAGACACGAGAACACGTGTCTAAATGTTGTCAAAAATGGTTGTTCAAGTATCATTTTCCATAATCTTAATTGTTTTGTTGATATCTAAAAGGAAACATATACTTGGTAAATTTACCAAACATGCTTATAGTAATTGTTTTATCATGTACAATATTTTCTTAAACTCACATACCTCCAGTATTTTCATATAAATTTATCTAAACAGTTACTTGTACAAGAAAACATTTTTTATATTGATAAGGATAAATCAAGGTTTATATATAAAGATTACAATACTCAAATTATATTAATTTTCACTATAAAATAAACGTTTCAATGTAATTTATTTTACATGCTTCCATATGTCTTTTGTTATTAATATAGTTTTGAATATTTCACTTATACCATTTGCATTAAATTTCACACTATACATTCATCAACATCATGCTAATTTCTTTATAACAATCTACAAATTTCCAAGTTTAATATTTTTTCAAATATTTCATCACTTAAAAACAAAATTAAGTTAATTCAATAGTTACTTGACTTATTAGAAACAAAATTTGTATTTTAATTAATTTTTTATTATTATTTAAGGTAACATAGCTATTTGGTTTTGTTGTCTAAAGCATAATATATATCACCAACTTAGACAATAATAAACATAAAATTAAACGGCGTCATTTCATTCTATATAAATTAAATATTAAAATACAAAACTGTCAATTGAAACAATAACATTTGATAAACATAATTAAAATTTTAGAATTTTACTTTTCTTATTGTCGTCTCAATTCATGATATTATAATTGAGAATGCAGATCAAACAACCATATAAAATTAATAAGGACAAAAAATCAATTAAAAATGTAAATCTTTTAGATATAATTGAATCAATTATTTTTAAAAAGATCCAACTAAAAATATCAGAATTTAAAGTTTAATATTTAATTAAGTATTTTTTATTTTATTTTACAGCAAAATATAAGAAATCCAAAATAATAACATATTTTTATAATTGATGAAATAAAATCAAACAACATAAACTTCATTAAAAATATATATTTTTTCCATAGAAATCCAAATGAAAATGTTTAGTTCAGGATCAACTTAAAATTTAATTAAGTCTTATTAATATTTTCAAGTTATCAGATACCATTTTTAATAAAAACATACTGTATATAAAAATAAAGTAAAAAAAAACCTAATAGAAAAGGACTCCTAAAACTGCAACCAAACAAATTATTTTATTATAATTAAACAATATATTTTATATAGTAAAATGTTTGATTTTAGTATAATTACAACACGATTTTAATATAAATAATATATTTATTTTTGTTTTTAATATATACTTGTCTATAAAAAGTTTATAATACCAAACAGTTGATTATATAGAAAAAAAAGAAGAAGAAAGAAGGTGTGTGCCAATAATTGGTGATATGGAGGGAGAAAAACTAGGGACGATTCTGATCACCAACGACGACGGCATAGATGCTCCTGGCTTACGAGCACTGGTTCAGTCACTCGTTTCTTCCAATCTCTTCAACATTCAAGTATGCGCTCCCGATAGGTAATATTTTCATCGTCATCATCTCTTTTCTGATCCATTTTTTCACCATTATACCGATTTTATTTCTTCATTTTTGCAGCGAGAAATCAGCTGTTAGTCACAGCATCACATGGCTCCAACCAATAGCCGTTAAGCAAGTGAACATTGCCGGAACCACCGCATTTGCGGTTTCTGGTTTGTGTCTCTCTTCCCCTTCTTTGCACAACTTTAGTATTATTTCACGTTACAAATTATTTCTTACATTCTGTTGACAGGGACGCCCGCTGATTGTGCTTCTCTAGGGGTTTCGAAAGCTCTCTTTCCCACAGTACCTGATTTGGTACATCTGCTATGCTATGCCACGCTTATTCGGTTTTAGTTTTGCTCTGTTACATTTTTTACTTCATAATTATACGGTTACAGCTTATAATATTTTTAAACTATTGATTTAAGGCAGTAACTGTTGAATTGATTGATCGCATTGCTTGCCATTCCTCACTGACTAATAAGAAGTGTATACTGGAAGAAGGCTTTTGTTGTGTTTTTTATTCATAGGTCATCAGATTTGTGGCTTTTTTTATAACCTAATTTTAAATTCTGCTCTGGTCTATCGCGTTCTCTGCATGTAGGATCTATCTGACTAAGCTGTGCCTAAATAGTTAAATAGAAAATAAAATGAAACATCCTGCCAGTTGTTGACGCGTGTTATATTCATTTCTTCAGGTAGTCAGTGGCATAAACAAGGGTAGCAACTGCGGTTATCACATGTATGTACCACCTTTTCCGTTCACACCATCATAGGAACTTTTGTACTTGTAAACTTCAAATGAATCTCTATGAATTTAGAATTAAAGCATGTTTGCCGAGAAACAATGAAGGGGGAGGCTAATACAAAGCCCTTTTCCTTTGCTGGGAGTAAATTTAGTCAAGTAAAACTTGGTGGTGTTCCTCTGACGACTATCTTCATTTATTATGACATTTTTTTGTTGAATTTTTTATAATGAGGGAGTGATCTATATCAATTTGATCATAAAATCTATAGAATACGATGTAACCTTATTTGTCCTGTTGGAAATAATCTAATTTTCCCAAACAAGTAATTTATAATTTTCTGTGCTGCTTAAAATCTATCCTGAGTAAAATCCTGGACCTGATTGTAACTGATGTAAAAGAAGGTCGTTTAATATAATAAGTTTATCCTTTGGAAAATTTTCTGTTGACCTCAGTGGCAATTGCCATTATATTGTAAGCATTGAAATGAAAATGATGACATTGCAATTCCTTGAATTGCCTCTGTAGTTGCTTCAGTAGTTATTATTACTTCGTGAATTGCACATATCATTACTGAATAGCTCCCTTTGCAGTGTTTACTCGGGTACTGTAGCTGGAGCCCGAGAGGCCTTCTTCAATGATGTACCCTCCATCTCCATTTCATATAACTGGTATGGCATATTTGCAATCTGCTTCTGCTGTTCTATATTACTGGATTTATCTTGAATATTTATTCAAAAGTTAATTTTAAAACCATTTTGTTAGCTTATATAATTGTGAGTGTAATTGGTAATTGAATGAATGTCTCGAGTAATGTGGCTCTTCGGTGTTATTAACTATTTCAACATTCTTTCATCTATATCTTACCATGGCAACAGCTTTTCATTAACCTTTTTCACCGTTTGGGGTTTACTTTATATTCAGGATTAAAGGAAAGAGTACTCTAAATGATTTTGTCCTTGCTGCACAAGTATGCCTACCTATCATAAGTGCTGTACTGGTTGAGACAAAGAATCCAAGTTACCCTAGAAAATGCTTTTTGAATGTAGATGTGCCAAACGATGTTGCTAACCATAAGGTATATTACAATTATTTTTGTAATCTGTATGTTTTCCTTATGATAAAGGATCGACATGATTATGGGCATTTTTTCATTCTTTTAATCGTTCAGGAACTACTTTAAAGTTTTGTATTGTTATTCTCAGTAATTGTACAATAATAATTGTAGGTTTGGTATCTTATCAAGGATAAAGTATGGTTTACATAATGAACATTGATTTCTTATCAGCATAGTTTTATTATGTCTGTTAAAAGGTAATGCTTTGTTTAAAATGAGAAACATTTTTAAAGGTTTTCCTTTGTTTAAAGTGGAAAACCCAGAAAAAAAACTAAGGAAAAAAAAAAGCCAAGATAGTGACACATGATCATCTTCTAAACTGTGTTAACTTTAATTTAATGGGAGGACCACATTGAATCCTTTTAAATAAAATGGAGACTGAATTAAGGACCAAAAAAAATAAAGAATGAAATTTAATAAATCCCTCAAATATTGAGACTAAAATACTAATCAAGTCTAAAGATAAAAACTATAACTGATAAGTATTATGTTACACAAAATTGTATGAAGATTAAAAAGCATAATTTAAAAAATTTACTAGAGATAAACTAATCATAATCCTAATCAGCCTAGAATTATGTTACTTTCTTCCTCTGCTGATATTGTATCCCCACAGGCGTATCTAAGGCTTGAGTCGTTTTAATTGTTTATCCTATTTATTTTTCTATCCTATTCTATCTAATATTGGAGTTAGAAGAAACTTTATAAATACTACCATTTCATAGCTAACTTTTCTAAAAAATATAGTGCTCTGCTTTATCATGCAATCAATTATAACTATTTTTTTTGTGTTTTTGTGTTTTTTTTTGTGCCTCTACAAAGGGTTACAAGCTAACTAAACAGGGTAAAAGTATCATCAAGATGGGATGGAGACAAGTCACCTCTGAGACAGAAGGACAAAAAATGTCCTCTGATATGACCAATACAGATGCAGAAACACCAAAGCATTTTGACCCATCATCTATATCATCCGAACATCTTTTGTTTGCAAGAGAGGTGGGTCGATTTCCTTTTCCTTTCTTTTTATTTCTTGAAATACCCATATTGTTATAAGTCCATCAAAGTTGAATCTTCTGCTTAAGTATGCCGTGGTTGGATTGTCTCAAAAAAGAGCAGAAAATGTAAGCATTCAGTTTTGTTATCTTCTGAAGTAGCAGTGGTCACGTGAATCTATGTGGAACCCCTAAATGATCTTACTGGGATGAGCATTTCCTAGTCCTTTCCACGAAGAAAATGATGCAGCGATCTTTAATCTTTTGTAGGTGAGAGGTTCCGTAATTGATGACGATGATACAGACTACAGACGTTTGCTGGAAGGATATGTGAGTAAATATATATTTGAGAACAAAAAAGTTAATATGCACATTCTAAGCATTTTCCTTTTTTCAGATCACTGTTACTCCTCTTGCTGCTCTCTCTCATGCGGAGGTAGATTGTCAGGCCTACTTTAAGAATTGGTTACAAAGTGTCCCTGAACTCTCCTCTTCATCATCTTTATAACGCTGTAAGTCCAATCATGTATTTGCAGTTTATGTGTTGCTTTGATTGCAATTGCAGTAGCTGCTTTTGCTTTTACATCTTTAGCATCCTTGTTTCAAGAATGACTATTCTTACTTAGATGAATGGAAAATTTTAATATTGTGTTTAAAAGACACCACTACTATGACATATAAGGGTTACTATTATAAACATATGTGTACTTATTAGTACCCTGCGTAGCTCATATTAGTTGCCTTTTTGTGATTCCCAGTCTAGCACAACTTGTCATGCGATCAATTATAGCACTCCTTTTTCACAGGCCGTAACTTGTGAATGCTTTTCATTTGCTGATTACTCTGGTTCACTGCAAGTGTTCACCTCAACATGTTACTAAATCAATTGTTTTGATCCTGAGCAATTTGATTGCTTCGGTATGCTTGTCGTTAGGCAATATAGACATTTCTATAGTGTTGTGTAATTGATGAGATGAGAGATTCGTTTCTATAATCTACTAAGTAATAACAAGTCACTCATTTTTAGACTAATATAATTGCAAGCATTCTTGTTCTGTCTTTATCAACATGAATTGCTCAAGTTATTGCTTGAATGAATAAAAAATCACTATACCAACTTGCAAAAAAAAATACTATTTCTTTCTTACCCTACTCCTAGTTTGCGTTGATCTTGTCCCTTGCCTGTTTTTAAAGGAGTCTGTTATTTCCAATATCTACTTCTATCATAATTTAATGGAGACATTGCTGATAATGAACCACTGGTCGTTAGTTATCATAAAATTGGATGAAACGTACTGGCAAATTCTATTATGCAATTATACTTGTAAGGGATGGCCTTCTTGGCTGAAGCTATTCATAATTTTCGAATACCTGTTTGTATTCCATACAGGTTTGAATACATTGTTTATCCCCGAAGCGAAGTTATGCAGTTTATGTTGCTATATTATTTTGGAAACTAAATTTGCAATCCCGTGACAATTGTGCGAATCTGAAAATAAATTATAGTTTACCGTAAAAATTAGCATCTTGTTGGACCTCTCTTTCTTCACAGACTTTGGGAATATAGTTTTCCTTGTTTCATCCTTAATATAAAAGTTAAGGTTGGTTCTTTCTTTCATTTTAGAGAAATTAATCCAGAATCTAAAAATTACAATTCTGAGATGGTTTGAAACGTATTTTTTATTTTTATTTTTTACTTTATGAACTGTAAAATTACATATATTCATCCAGAAAGAAGACAAGTCTTGATTAGTACAGGGTGAAAAAGTTGTTCCCTAACACGTATTTTCTCTTAGAGAATGTTAAACTATACCCAGCCTCAGGTTGTGCCCAATTTTACTGGCCTTCCCATTAGGTTTATTGAAACAAAGTTCAAAAGTAAAATTTGGTCGAATTACGAATTAAATTGACTGCTGCTTTTGATCACGGTAGTCTACTAGGAGTAGTTCGGCCACATCATTCTAGTCATCCTATGCTTTCGAGCAGTGATGATTAGGTATTTTGATTTCCCCAGTACCGAAAATCAGTTTTCATCAGAAAAAAAAAAATCAATAAATTTACAATTTAGGCTTTCAATGATTAGGATATAGTTTACTTTGTCATCCAATTATTTTTATCCTTAGATAAGTATTTCAAAAAGCAAAATATCATGATATTGTTTTTTTATAGATTTTTTACCAAATTAATCTTGAGAATTCTAAAAGGGTTACCTTATAGAAGATTCAGATAATGGGACAAAAGGATAACTTTAGAGATAGTTTGTTATCATAAACCTGAATATTTGAAAGATTTATTGTCTAAAATTAAGTGTTAATATTTTTTTAGTTGCTTTTAGAATAAATGTTTTTAAGTTACAAATTTTAAAAAGTATTATAGCACATTTAAATTATAACTTTATAAAATATTCTTTCTAAAAGAGAAGTATAGTATATCAGCTTGCAGATGGGTACTATGCTAATTTAACTTTTAGGATAAGTATTCTAATACATTGTAAGCTATACTTATTAAGTGTATTTTAATGAACTTTACCTTATAACATGTTGCGACTGTTCTCAAAATAAGTGAGATTATAACAAATTCGATTTTTGTGTATCACGCACTCCTAAACTCCTCACGAGTATGTGCAAATTAACATTTATTCCCGTGCAGTACACATGTTTGATTGTAGGTTGGCTATCCATTCCACATAGCTTTCAAATATCAACATCAATAAGGAAAATAAGAGAACAAGCTACCATTTCAACAACAGCTTAAAATAGACAGCTTACCAATAAAACCCCTTATTGAGGACTTCTTTAATTTGTATTTCAAAGCTAAAATTTTCTTACTGGGTTACTCCCCTCCTCCTACTGGTTTTGGAAGCATTTAAGCAGAAAAAAAGATGGATGTTTAGATAAGCTCTTCATGGATGCTTCATAAGACAAGAAAAAAAAAAGAAACAGAGGAGGAGTATCATTCTATGTGTGATGCTACAAAAGTTAAAAAAAGACACTCTGTATGGACATCATAAATAGTTTATATATGTACATTACGATTCTGTTTTGTGCATAGCCCTCATCTTTTCAATGGCAAAGAGGAGTGAGATTCCACTAGTATTGACCAGAGGACGTGGACGTCTTCATAGGGGCAAGATTTGACATCTTCATATAGAATGTATATGCCTCTTCCTGAAATGTTTAGGCAAAGTTATGAAAATTTGTGATTGGAAAGGAAGAATTAAATAAATGATGCCTGCGTCTAGCTAATAGGACAAAGGGATAGGGAAGCCGGGTGTGTGAAGAAAAACATTGAAATAATTCAAATGATGAGGCATTGCAAACTTGTACTTAATTTCTCTAAAATCTCATTGAAATGCAGCTGAAAGAAGGAAGTGTGTTGCATGTAGTGAAAGAGTGTTTAAAGAATAGAAGAAGCATTGTGCTAAATACAATGTGAAGAGATGACAAAAGCATTTCTGGAAAAACTAGCAGGAGTAAGAGAATAATGCAGCTATGGAATGTGTGATGGAACGTACTCTTCTTTTGAGTTGAATGCATCCGGAACCAAAGCTTCTTGAGTGGAGAGATGAGGGATTGCAGCCACCCCATTTGGTGAAGTGGGTGTGGCTCATGCAGGTGTAACAAACATGAGGGACATAATAAGAAGAGGGTGAGAGAGATAAAGAGGAGACCTCTACACCCTTTGCTTAAACAAGGGTGAACATTTTGCAAGGTCGCTTTTCATGTTTTTAGACATTTTTACATTCCCTTGCAGCCCAATCATGAAATTCACATTTGTTGCTGGTACATTGTCCCTTTCGAACCTCTTATCCCTTATAGAAGAAAAAGAAAACACTCCACCAATCATCTTTGCATCTCACACTTTCTTGACCATAAAAAAAGAAAAATAAATAAAGAAGCCTCTCTTGGTATCCGTTTTTCCCTTTCCCTAAAGAGTGGTGGTGGCTTATGCCTGAAGATAAACTTCCCTTTTTTTCACCATCATTTGGCATCTCTATTAGAGGTAAAAGGCACACATGGGGAAGGTTTCCATATTTGACACATAGGCCCTCCTCTTGCATTTTAAGCAAGTACAATCTCACTTTCATAGAGTCTCCAACAAGGCACACCCAGCTTTGTTTCCTGTTAGTCCACCTGTTCCTCTAGGGTGTCTTACAAGAGTAAACACAATACTCACTCTGGAATGTTTTGCTGACTCAGCTTCCACACGTCACTTCCATGGATATGATTTGACTTGTGTATGTATTACACTCCTAATGGTAGTAGGTACGTACCAAGCTATCAATAATTATAGCATGAACAATTCTTCTAAACATTGGGAAAACATATTTACGGGCCTGCCATTTCAAACTCAAACTTCTTGCTTGAACAAACAATAAGTAGAAAAATAAAGCAGGGCAGTTAGTATAGGGTAAAGTTTACCTAAAAAATAGTTTAATTCCATTTTTTAAAATGGTAATGTGAAATCGAGGATCATTAAGACCGTGCTACTTGCTTTGCTTCTATTCTTTTTACCAATTATAGTTAGTGCTTTGTCCTTTTTTTCTCATTAAATATTTGGCATTTGAATAAAGGAAGAGGAATCCAACTTTATGCATAGATTAGTGCTGCTTAAGGGTACAAAGAACTGGACGAGATTTGTTGAAGCTCTATTCAATTGGTGAAATATTAAATTAAAAATATGCATGGTTGAACGGAAATTATGGTAGAATGTTGGCCCACAGTTTTCTATGTTTTCGTTTAACACTTAAAAAAAGACCATCATTTCATAAGATTTAGCAATTTTCTTATAAAATTCAAATACTCCTTTCTCAAGGTATAAGTTATTATGCAAATTTCTATGAGATTTATGTCATTCTTTAAATACCACTGTCTTTCTTTTTGAGCCTTAACATTCCCCTCTGTTGTTTAATTTAATAAATTTCTAAATGTATTAAAATTATTAAATCATTTACAGGAAAAAAAACATAAAATTTAACCTAGTATATTGTTGTAATGCGGTGTCCATTGATTTTTAACAGAGTTGAACTTTTTCTTTTTAATTTATGAATGTAATTATTGGACGAGAGGAAGTTTATTGACTAACTAATTAACTAAAAGATCAAGTATCTTGCCAAATAAAACGTAACAGAGAGATGCGAAGAGGGTCTAAAAAACCAACACTTTCCTTTTGTCGTCTTTTATCAGGTATATTCTGCCATAATTGAAAAATTAATCGATGCTTGCTAGAAATAACTAGATGAAATAATTTGATTTAAATAAATTTATGTTTTACGTTTCGGAGCTTTATGTCATAACATCGATTTCGTGAGAAATTTAATCAAGATATTTTGGATACAGTATTTCATGTTATTCTATAGAAAATAAATTAAACATACGAAACAAACATTTGAAAAAAAAAATGCAAGAAATTTTCATGCAACTTAGTGTGTAAACAATCACTCTTACGTAAACAAGGCGTGCCATTCTTTTCGATTTATTTATTATGTTAATTTCCTTCACAAACAAACAATTACAATTTTCATTTCATTTTATTTTTTTTCTCTCTCTCTTTATATATATATATATATATANAAGGTCGCTTTTCATGTTTTTAGACATTTTTACATTCCCTTGCAGCCCAATCATGAAATTCACATTTGTTGCTGGTACATTGTCCCTTTCGAACCTCTTATCCCTTATAGAAGAAAAAGAAAACACTCCACCAATCATCTTTGCATCTCACACTTTCTTGACCATAAAAAAAGAAAAATAAATAAAGAAGCCTCTCTTGGTATCCGTTTTTCCCTTTCCCTAAAGAGTGGTGGTGGCTTATGCCTGAAGATAAACTTCCCTTTTTTTCACCATCATTTGGCATCTCTATTAGAGGTAAAAGGCACACATGGGGAAGGTTTCCATATTTGACACATAGGCCCTCCTCTTGCATTTTAAGCAAGTACAATCTCACTTTCATAGAGTCTCCAACAAGGCACACCCAGCTTTGTTTCCTGTTAGTCCACCTGTTCCTCTAGGGTGTCTTACAAGAGTAAACACAATACTCACTCTGGAATGTTTTGCTGACTCAGCTTCCACACGTCACTTCCATGGATATGATTTGACTTGTGTATGTATTACACTCCTAATGGTAGTAGGTACGTACCAAGCTATCAATAATTATAGCATGAACAATTCTTCTAAACCTTGGGAAAACATATTTACGGGCCTGCCATTTCAAACTCAAACTTCTTGCTTGAACCACCAATAAGTAGAAAAATAAAGCAGGGCAGTTAGTATAGGGTAAAGTTTACCTAAAAAATAGTTTAATTCCATTTTTTAAAATGGTAATGTGAAATCGAGGATCATTAAGACCGTGCTACTTGCTTTGCTTCTATTCTTTTTACCAATTATAGTTAGTGCTTTGTCCTTTTTTTCTCATTAAATATTTGGCATTTGAATAAAGGAAGAGGAATCCAACTTTATGCATAGATTAGTGCTGCTTAAGGGTACAAAGAACTGGACGAGATTTGTTGAAGCTCTATTCAATTGGTGAAATATTAAATTAAAAATATGCATGGTTGAACGGAAATTATGGTAGAATGTTGGCCCACAGTTTTCTATGTTTTCGTTTAACACTTAAAAAAAGACCATCATTTCATAAGATTTAGCAATTTTCTTATAAAATTCAAATACTCCTTTCTCAAGGTATAAGTTATTATGCAAATTTCTATGAGATTTATGTCATTCTTTAAATACCACTGTCTTTCTTTTTGAGCCTTAACATTCCCCTCTGTTGTTTAATTTAATAAATTTCTAAATGTATTAAAATTATTAAATCATTTACAGGAAAAAAAACATAAAATTTAACCTAGTATATTGTTGTAATGCGGTGTCCATTGATTTTTAACAGAGTTGAACTTTTTCTTTTTAATTTATGAATGTAATTATTGGACGAGAGGAAGTTTATTGACTAACTAATTAACTAAAAGATCAAGTATCTTGCCAAATAAAACGTAACAGAGAGATGCGAAGAGGGTCTAAAAAACCAACACTTTCCTTTTGTCGTCTTTTATCAGGTATATTCTGCCATAATTGAAAAATTAATCGATGCTTGCTAGAAATAACTAGATGAAATAATTTGATTTAAATAAATTTATGTTTTACGTTTCGGAGCTTTATGTCATAACATCGATTTCGTGAGAAATTTAATCAAGATATTTTGGATACAGTATTTCATGTTATTCTATAGAAAATAAATTAAACATACGAAACAAACATTTGAAAAAAAAAATGCAAGAAATTTTCATGCAACTTAGTGTGTAAACAATCACTCTTACGTAAACAAGGCGTGCCATTCTTTTCGATTTATTTATTATGTTAATTTCCTTCACAAACAAACAATTACAATTTTCATTTCATTTTATTTTTTTTCTCTCTCTCTTTATATATATATATATATATATAGTTTTCTTCTTCTTCCTTACAACATAATATAGTGTAAGACAAATTATTTGAACTTATCGCATTGTGTTATAACCCTTAAGACACTTGCAAAAAAAAATTGTAGGGTTATTTTCAAAAAGGATTTGTAGTAATCCCGACAATAGGAAAACCATTTTAGAAGTGGGAAAATGAAATCAAATTAGAGTAGGTTTGGACAAAAATTTTCAAAGATTTAAATAAAAAAAGAGTTAATACTAGTTTCTCTATAAGTTATAATTAATTTATACAAAAATAAAAACATAGTAAAAAATTTCATCATGAGAAAACTTCTATACATGCATGTGAGGGTTTTGAAAGGTAGAATAGGCGTACGTACAGTGAAGCATTGGGTTAAAGCCCATAAATGAGTGGACCAAGCTTTCAGCAAAAAAGCTGGGCCTAATAATGGAGTGCTAAAGTTGCATTCACACTCTGAAAACTTAAATTTGCCGAAAATTTGTTGCCTCACATTTGACTCAAACTGTGTCCACCGTCCATTCTCACTGTTTCTCACTGTCCGTGAGTGTAACTATTCTCGTGATTATTCTTCTGTACCTTTATATTCATAACCACCATTCTAGTACACTTTCTTCTTCTTCACAACTTTCATAATATCATACCAATTTCACACATCAAAATATAAATATAAGTGTAAGCAAATTTAATTTAATTTGTTGTTTTATCTTATCTACACCTATTTTCACAAGATAACTTTTTGCTACACATGTTAACAAAACGTGTGAAGACAATGATAGAAGAAGTTTTTTCAGGATTTTGGACAGAGATCATCTGTTATTTTTCTTTCTTTAATAAGTTTTGGAGAAAAGGAAAAATATTCTGTTTGGATTATTTCATTTTGTATCGATAATGTGTTTTTGAAAATTTTGTATCCATAATGTGTTTTTGAAAATTTTATTTTGAGATATGTGATCCATTTGTTGTTTTTATATTAAGAATTTAGCACTTATAATACAGTTATCTTGAGTTAAATTATGTTTAATAGTTTTGATGAATCTGGATGTGCAAAGAAAATAAGAAAAAAAAAGTGAAAAATGGAAGAAAGAAAGTGAATCTGAAATGGACATGTATATTACTGGTAAGAAGAAGGAACATTCCCTTTAACCTCTCAACTCTCAAGAACAAAGTGAAGCCAAAAAAGTGGAGTTTCTGTTTTCCATTTTTCACGTAAAGACATCATTCCTACGCCACACGCAAAGGACGATCTTAATGCACAAATCTACAATACAAGCCAAAGATCACCAGCTACGTTGCCACACCTACCTACATACAGATAAGTAAATACATTCATAGCTTTCTTGCGACTATGCACATACCACTTTCGACCACCAAATAATAACAAGATGAAATACATTTATATTTATTTCACACATTTTATAAGATAAAATTGTCACAAACAAATAAATCTTTTATTTTTTCAATAAAAAAAGAATAAAAATTAAAAAAAAAAAAAATCAAAAAAAAATAAAAAAAATATATAAAAAAAAAAAAAATTTTTTTCCTAATAAAACCAATCTTATTCATATTTTCAAGTGAAAATTTTGATGATCTTTTATAAAAAATCATACTAAAACACAACACTAATAAAACATGAATTCAATATATATAAAAATTTAATTTTATTTCTAATTCAAAATATTAAAATAATTTTCAATAATTTTAAACCCTTACTATTATACTAAAAACTACCATTAATAGTATACTTGTAATATTTCTTATTTAAAAAAGTAACAACTTAAATATTATTATTTAATCCATATAAGATATATTTAATGTACTATGTAACATTATATATAATTTTTTCCTTAAATCATGCATAAACTAATTTTAACGTATGAAAAATTCTTTTTACTATTTTTAACTTTGTTTTTCTTAAAAATGATCTGAAAAAAAAAATGTCTAAAATGTGTCTATCTTACTCAAGAGACTTGTTACTTGGAATGTTCTACTTCTTCTCTAGCACACGAGATATTCTAACATATTTCACAAACGAATATTATTTTAATTTTAATGAAAAACATAGCTTTAAAAACACATTTTATATGAAAAATAAAATAAAATACCATTTAATTAGTAGAAACTTATTAATCAAAGTCTTGATTATGCTTTCTATTGCTGAAAATATATATGTAAGTTTTTTTTACAAATAATTGTTTGATAGGGAGAGATTAAAGAGCTGAAAAATGATAGATAGTAGAGAAAAAAAAGTATTATATAAATAATAAATCACTTTACACTTATTACCATTATTTTCGCATCTTTCTTGGCCCAATGAAATCAAATACTATACATTATAAAAAAAATTATTATACAATAAATTCATGAGATAAAAAAATTATAAAACTAATATTTAACTATAAAGTGGGATAAAGGAGAGTTACATATTTTCCTTCATGAATAAACCATAGATGTGAAAAATAAAAACAAAAATATTGAATTTGTGTTTAATTTTTTTTTCTTTAGAAATAAAAGAAAACGTGTACAAAAGAAAGTAACTTAGAAAATAAAAAAATATGATAATAAATTTATATTCTTTTATTATATTTAATTTTATATTTTACTATTTATTTGAAATTTTAAAAGTCTGGTGTCTGCCCAAGATCCGTCCCTGTCTTTATCTCTTTAAATTTTGACCTAAATCCTCCCGATTTTGGGTTAAAGCTCGTGCTTTGTGTCATTTTGAGTGCAGTGCAGCTTTTGCAGTTGTTGAAATCCGCTTTCATAGTTCATACATCACAATATATAGAACTGTCAACACCAAAATTCAATGCTGCTGCGTGCAAGAGGAATGCATGCATGCACGTATTATCACATTTCTGATAAATATGATCATACTTAAACACACTTTCTGTAATGCTTCAAAACACCTTGTGTCCTTTTTGACAGAGACAAAGATGTAAAACAAAAAGTCAATAAATGTATATATAGAACGAACGTGAATGTGTAGTTTGAAAAAGAATTATAAATATATGATGAGATAGTTTGATTAAACAGTCGTTTTCCGTTATTAAATCAGTGTCGGATATGTATCCATCATTTCTGTGCTGACCAACAAAACACATCTCATTTCACTTTTCCCCTTTGTTTTCTCCCATATCAGTGACTCTTCAACCAAGCATGCTTCCAACCAAAAGGCTTTAGCAGCCATTTTGCTACACATATAACACGTCCTTCTTTTCCTCTTTTATTCAGTGTTTCCTTCAATCTCTTTCAGTCTTCTTTCTCTCTCCAGTTACTTCAAGACAAGATATTATTTATTTCTGTTGTCGCTACTGATTGATCATATTAGAGTATTGCATATATATATTATTATTATTATCTCATCACTTTGTGAAGTTGGCATTTCTCGAGATGAGTAAGAAGGATGAGAGAGACAGGTCTAGAGTTGAAGCAGTTCTCGAGCTCATCAGGAAACAAACACCGCTCACTGTTAAACAGGTTCTTCTTTCACCTCCTCTTCCACTCACTCACTGTTCTTTCTGCAGATACACAACTTTGTAATTAAAAGTGGAAGATCTATTTAGCTTTCCTAAAAGCCGGTATTTGAAGGAGAATTACACCAAAGTGGTGTTCTGGGTCTGATACAAACATGTTTTTTGTTCTTTAACTGTTTCGAATGTAGGAGAAGTTCTGCAATTATGCTTGCGTGGAACGATTTCTGAAAGCAAAGGGGGATAACGTGAAAAGAGCTGCCAAGCAACTCAGGGCTTGCCTTTCTTGGAGAGAGAGCATAGGCGCTGGTAAATTATGATATATACATTATTACAGTACTGTTCTAACATTCTTCTTTTCTTTCTTATTACTTTACATTACATATAAAGGAAAGTGAAAACCAACAAGAATCTTGCTCACCCTTTAGATCATTTGAATGAAGTCTTGGAGAAAAATGCATCCTATATATGATGAATGACTCTCCCTCCACACACTAAAACAAAGGGATTTCTTCTTTCTTTTTCCTTCAACATAACATTACTAATTTTGCTATGTTAATTATTTTTAAACAGATTATTTGGTGGCGGATGAGTTTTCAGGAGAACTGGCTGATGGGTTGGCGTACGTGGCTGGTCATGACGATGAGTATAGACCTGTAATGGTAACTTACTTATATTGTGATCTCCCTTCTGTTTTTTTTTTTTTTTTTTCTGAACTTGAGTGTGTGTAAACTCTGCAAGTTTCTTCAAGGTGTTGTTTAATTGTGAGATAATGATATAATAATAATAATAATGAGTTGAACATGGTGTAACAGATTTTGCGGATGAAACAAGAGTATCAGAAGTTTCATTCCCAGAAAATGTAAGTCCGGAAACAGAAGAGAAGAATCGTTCTGAACCTTTTGTTTCTTAAATTCATGATCTGCATTGCTGCAGACACTGCAGTAGAACTAAACTGCGGTTCTTCGCTGTTGTTTCTTTCTCTCTGTCTCTCTAGGTTCACTCGTTTGTTGGTCTTCACAATGGAGGTGGCTGTTTCGACCATGCCAAAATACGTTCAGCAATTTGTCTTGCTTTTCGATGCAAGTAAGGATCTCCACCCACTTTTCCACTAATGTCGTCTCACAAACAAAACTTTTCAACTAAATTAAATTTTATACAAACTTACATAAGAGAACTTATGTCAATCTATTAATATATATATATAAACAAAAAAATTATTATTTTCTTCTCTCAGAACAGTCAAAATCATTCACATTTCACAAGGCACTCTCGGAATGTGTCTGGGTAGCCATGAACTGTCACGGTCAAAACTCCTAGTGCCATGTTGTGAATGGTATTCATGGAACTGACTATTATGAATATCTTGCCCTAGTTCCTTAAATTTTGCATCATGCAGAAGATACTCTCAAATTACATAGAAAATGTTAATATAATTAGGCAGTGTGTTTGAATAATATTTGAAGGAAGCATGTATATTAAGGAGGCGTTTGGTTGCAGGCTTTTACAGGTCTGCATCTGCTTTTACGAACTTACTAGTGAGAGCATTGAAGATAACGGGGGAATACTACCCTGGGCGACTGCATAAAGCGTTTATCATAGACCCTCCCTCGCTGTTTCCTTATTTTTGGAAGGTAAACAACATAATTATGGTAATAATCTATCCATTTTCAGCAATGACCAATGCTTTTTAAGTATGGTCCAAAGCCGTGAGAGAGTGAATGATTGTGTGTGCTGCGGGTGCAGGGTGTGGGGGCATTCGTGGAACTATCGGCAGTGACGACGCTGGTTTCATCGTTGGATTTCCACGGTGAGGATGGATCATCGGGGGATTTAACTGGAGGAAGGGGCGTGATGAATGCAGGATCATGCTCCTCTTCGCGCTTTGCCTTCACGGTGTCTCATCACGTTGACTCCCTCAAGCCTTGGTATCTGAGCCTGTCGGAGACGTCAGTGGCGAGCAGAACGCCGGTGCAGCAGCGCACTCCTCGGCCGTCGTTTTTGAAATCGCCGGCGGGAATGGTGTTCGGGCGCGGAGAGAGGGTGTGTCGGGAATCGTTCTTGCCGCTGTGGAAGTTATACAGAAGGCCGTATGATGAAATGGTTTACAGGTCAAAGATGCGGGGCCCGGTGGGAGGTCACTTTAGACGACGGCACGTTTCGTTTTCCCAACGTTTCTGAATCTTATGACTCCCATCTTGTGTACGTTTTTTTTTCTTTCCTCATAACAGCATGAGAAAAAGTAGCAGTGGTAGTGGTAGTGCATTTGAATGGAATGAAGTAAATTATGCAGCAATAATTGAGTGGTTTTTGCTTGAATTTCAACCATATATATGTCAGTGTTCATGTGAAAGATAGAAGCGTATTCAACGACCGAGGAGCGTGGCGTCGATGAATGAATGAATAATGTGATGGGATTAGAGCTTTTCGTTTGTAGCGCTTTTGCTTTTCATACAGATGAAGAAAAAATGGAAATCAAGAAGCAGAGAAATAAAAGATAATTCTATCGCATTTTCTTTCTGCACCTCCACCTTTATATATATATAGCATTGCTAAAATTTATAATTAACTTGTAATTAAAAAAAACTTAATATTTGAAAATCTCAATTATAAACATTTTTTGTTAAAAAAAAAACTCTAATACTAAAACACTATTCTTAAATGTCTTTTGATATTGACTTTTTTTTAAAATTATACATTTTTCTCAACACAACTTAAGAATAGAATTTGTATTATTACTGATTTTTTTCAAATTTACATTATAAATTATATAATCCAAAAAATAAATTTGTATTATAAATTATATAATCCAAAATGTAAATCTATGTTCCAAATTGTAATACGGAATGTGTAAAACTAATATTTTTGAGTTTTAGATTATGTAATCCAAAATATTTATGGATTATACAGTCCAAAACTATAATTTCACAGCGGGTATAATTTGATTTTTAAGGAAACACTGGGTGTAGAAATTCCTTACAAACGAGTACATGAGCAAGTTATTGAATGGACTTTAACTTTCTACACCCTTTTTTTCACTTCTTTCGGAAGAGACTTTTCATAATATACTTTTACATTTTAAAAAAATATTCCAAAACTAATTAGAAGTTTTATTAAATTAATAACATGCAAGAAGAAAATTCCCATGACAGGACATGGCATGCATGAGTAAGTCTAGTATATGGATCAGAATACAAAACGGGGAGAAATTGGGCCATAAATAGCTCTCTAAAATCTTCATTCCCAATTGTTTTATCGATAAAATGGTTTATAAAGTAGAAAAGAAAATAATCTTAAGCACAGGTAAACTAACATCCAATCTTAAGCTCTCTAAAATCTTCTCCCATTTCAAGCAATACTTTATTTGTATACATATGGCATTTCGTTTTATTGAAATTCATTAAGCAAAAAAGTAAAATAAAAACAGAACACACAAACAGATTATTCAAACAAATGAACTCATCAAAGTCTTTTGGATCAAGTGAAAAGCTTCAAGAATCATTGAGAGATTTTTTCTGGAAGCTTTAGCACTGCAGTGATAAACTATAGACCTTAATCTACCATCATCTGCTCATAAACCAAAGGAGGAACACCAACTTCCACTGTTCCATCTAGCATTTGCATCACTTGCTTCATCAAAGGTCTCAAAGCAGGATTTGGATGAACACACCATAGTCCAACCAAGGCCATTTCCTCAAACCTCTTGAAATCATTCAACACTTCCGAGTCATGTCCCACTACTAACTCTAGTTCCTTGGACACCACACACCTCAAAACCCAACTTGCAAGTACCACATCGTAATCTTCACTGTCTTTTCCATCCTCACAAATCTCAACGTGCCTCCTGCAGCAAATAATCTCCAATAACATAACCCCAAAGCTGTATATGTCAACTTTAGCAGTTATTGGTGCACTCTTTAGCCATTCAGGTGCCATGTATCCCATTGTCCCTCTCAACTTAGTGACTGTTCTAGTTTGATCTTTGTTCAAAAGCTTCGACAGTCCAAAATCTGAAATCTTTGCAGTGTAATTGGCGTCAAGTAACACGTTTTCGGGCTTTATGTCACAATGTATGATTTGGGTGTTGCACTCTTCGTGCAAGTATAGCAAGCCTCTTGCGACTCCAAGAGCCACTTCAGTTCTCTGACCCCATTGAGGTCTTTATCCCTCTCCAAACAAAAAACTAGAGAGGGCACCATTTGGCATCAACTCATACACAAGAATTCGATGGCTACTCTCAATGCAAAACCCCAAAAGCCTCACCAAATTTCTGTGATGAGTACGACCAATAATTTTGAGCTCAGTCGTGAATTCACTATCACTTTTTTCTATTTTCTTTTCCAGTTTCTTTACTGCAACATCAATCTTTGCATCACCTATTACTAAAGCACCACGATAGACTTTGCCAGAAGCTCCCTTTCCAAGAATCTTAGTAAATCCGTCTGTTGCTTCATGCAGCTCCTGAAAAGTAAATTCTCTGAAGTTGATTCCAATAGCTGTTGCATTCAGATGCTTCTTTTTCCTTGTAAGTCTCCGAGTGAAAGGATGATAGTAGACAGCAAGGGCACCAAAGAAACAGGCAAGAGTTGCAGTAACTGCAACAAGAACCTTCAAAAAGACTCTTACATTAAAACTTTTCTTCTTTGGAAGTTCAGATGTCCCAGACTCAATCCTGTTAGCAACTTTAAGCAGTGCTTTCAATCCCTTTGAAGAAGAGCTATTTCTAGCATTCAGCAAGGGCAGTCTCTTCTTAGCACATGTGGAGGTGGAATGGTCATAAGTTGCAGCAACAATGTTACAATCATCTATTACATCCTTCTTACAACTTTCGAAGTCAACACCAGCCAACCTAACAAGATGAGTAACAAAATGGAAATCAGTGTCGTCAAAAAACTGGAGCTTGAAGTTGTTTTCTGCACAGTAATTGATGACAGCTGGTGGGCGACACCCTTTTGAAACATCTTGATCATCCAAAGGGATATAACCTGGAATACACTCACACTTGACTGATTCATTGTCAGGAGAACTGCACAAGCCATACACACCACAGATAGCATTCACTCTGCAGGGATCCTCCACGGCTCTCCAAACCCTCCTCCAACCGGTCCCATTCCTCTTGTGATAAGCATATTGCTGGAAATTCCCATTCTCATCTATTGTAGCACGGTGATAGTAATCCTCCACCGGGGTTGGAGTGATTTCGGTTAGGGTGAAGATGTTCCCAGCATCGTTGACACGGTACATGAGAGCAGTGGTAGCATTAAACACCAATGTCATATTGGCGGTTATGGGTGAAGTGAACCAGTATGCAGGGTCTGCCCACCGGTACGCTTTGAGCACCAAGTTGCCATCTTCTTGCATTTGTAACATGAAACTTCCCAACGAGTAATTTGAAGGTCCTTTCCCTTTGGAAAAGAGGGTTTTAGTACTCAACAAGGTTTGGCCCGGTAAGATGGTGTTGGTTGGAGAGTTGAAACTCTGCCACACATATACTAAGTTGGAGTCCTTGATCACAAAATTGCCATCATCTTGCATGTAGGCAGATGTTGCAGCATCGCCTTGTGCAGAATTGTATATGGTCATAGCAGTAGTTCCGTTTTGGTAGGCTACCACAAGGTTTCCTGCAGAAGTGAATTGGATTTGAGAATTTGTTTCCACAGGGGGAGAGAGGTACCATGCGAGTGTTATATCTGAGATTCTCCCAAACCATATTCCCACAAGAAAGAGACCACTGGGAAGATGGAGGAATCCAAATTCAAAATCACCCGAGGGTGACTTCCATGTAGAGTTTGATCCAGCAGTGATGCTGGTGTTTGGATGTACAACGGCATGGAAACCATTCAGAAACGAAAGTAGTAGGAGAATGGAAGAAAGAAAGATAGCCAAAGACATTGGATTTGCTTGAAATGAATGTGGTGTGAGTGAAAGGTGTATAAATCATCAACTAAAGAAGTTGACCTGAGGATTCTTCTTTTGTCTTGTTTTAGCCATGCTAACTTTAGTTGGATGAAACTAGCAACCAATCCAAGACAATAGAACTGCGCATTAATGATTAACTACTGGTAAGTGTATTCATTATTGTGTATATGACAATTCAATTTGCCACTTTAGTAATGAAACTTCCAAGTTGTTAAGTTTGGCTTGCTTTTCCGCACATTCATCTCGTTTAATGAATCAAAGCCGAGCCAAAATTGAAGAAAAAATGAGAGTGGACTCATGAAAAGTCATTTGAATTTTATGGACATAAAATGACATTAAAAGTATCATCTTGGACATTCCTGCACGCAAAGAAAAAAGATTGGTTTGATGTTCCGTAAGTTTACCATCATGGATAGGTTGAATGACTGGGCATCTCTTTTTGAACTTTTCTTCATCTAATTTCTTGTGATTCAATTCGATCAAAATTCAGTATTTATGACTTGGTCTTAAAATCCATGGTCTTCATTAGAACAGTTAAGTCGATGGAGAATTCGGAAATGTGTTATTTTGCTGGAGGTTAAGAAGTTGGTTTGGAATACCTAAGATTTCCTGTTACGAAATCTAAGAAAGATCGATACAAGACAATTCTAAACTAGAAGAAAACTTGTCTGATAAATCTTAAAACATCGATACAAGGTAAAAGAAACTCGCTACAGTAATATAAATTTGAATCATCATTCTTAAACTTAGCTTATATTTTAACCATGTAATCGTTTTCTGAAAAAGACAACCCGAAAGCATTCATAAACTTTACTGTAAATAAAAAAATATAATATGCTTGGTTATTAGTCTGGTGAAAATATAAGTAAAATGCATGAGATTGTAATTAGTGTATAAAATATTATCTCGAAAGAGCATTGAGTAAAAGTAGAAGTGTTTTTCTTTTTGTTAAATTAGAATTTTACAATAGATTTTATTCTAAGCTTAAATTTAAAACAAATACATATAGAGAGTACAAAGTGGAAGAATCAGTGTTCAGCTACCATAACGATCAAATGGCATGCAAAAGTTGAAGAATACAAAGCAATCTTATACAAATTTAGAAGACAAGAAAATTAAAGTAATGCAATTTTTCATGGAACATTTTTGCTATCTATGAGTCTATTGTTGGGACTCCTACTTCGACATTTCCTTCCAACATCTGTACCACAATTTTCATAGATGGTCGAAGAGTTGGATTGGGGTTTACACACCATAATCCAACCATGGCCATTCTTTCAAACCTCTTGATATCACTTTCAACTTCAAGATGATGAATCACTGGTGCTCTTAAGTTGTTTTCTTTTGCCAGATACATAACCCAATCTATTAGTATCAAGTCATCACCCATTGTTTCATCCTCAATTTGATGCAACTCGATGTGTTTTCTGCAAAATATGATTTCCAACAACATGACACCAAAGCTGTAGATATCCACCTTTGTAGTAACAGGTGCATTTTTTAGCCATTCTGGTGCCATATATCCCACTGTTCCTCTAGCATTGGTGTTTGTTCGAGTTTTATCTTTCATTAGCAACTTTGCCAGTCCAAAATCTGAGATCTTTGCAGTGTAACTAGAGTCAAGCAGAACATTCTGAGGCTTTATGTCACAGTGGATGATTTGATTGTCACACTCTTCATGAAGATATAACAAGCCTCTTGCAATTTCAAGCACAATTCTGACTCTACTCTCCCAGCTGGGTTTATCCCCTTCTCCGAAAAGGAAGTAGGATAGTGTTCCGTTTTCCATTTTCTCATAAACCAAAAGCCTATGACTCTGTTCATTGCAAAAGCCCAGTAAACCAACAAGATTTCTGTGATGAGTAAGAGCAATAACTTGAACTTCTGTCACAAATTCTTTATCACCTTGGTCGTCTACTTGCTCAAGTTGTTTGACAGCAACATCAACCTGTTGATCCTCCAAGTTTAAAACCCCACCATACACTGTACCATAGGCTCCTCGACCAAGTTTGTCTTTGAATCCGTTTGTTGCTTCTCTCAGCTGTTGGAATGAAAATGCCTTCAGATTGATATCCATCGGCTTTGGCTTGGGCTTTGGTGGTGCCTGTTTATGTAGGATATACAGACAAACAGGGTGATGGTATATGGTAGTAGCTAAAAACAATGCAGCAAGTAGTGAACAAGAGATGAGAGCCACTATCAAAATAACCAAAGACGATGATTCCTTATCATTGGCAACCAGAGGAACTTTAACCAGCATCACAAAATCATTAGTTTTAGGGATGGTTCTTACGGCATTTATAATTGGCCATTTTTTCTTATAGCAATCACTGCCCTTTGAAACTGCAACCATGCAGAGACAATCATCCAACAATTCTTTCTTGCATCCATCCAGATCCATGTTATTCAAGACTACTAGATCAAAATAAAAGTAGCCCTCGTTTGATATATCAGCATCTTGGATCTCTTTCACTTCCACCATAAAGTTTGAGCCAGAAGAATTTGCAGGACACAAGTCCTTGACCTCACTGAGATAGCACCCCTTGGAGGGTGCTGTTGGATCCAAAGGAGTATAGCCAGGTAAGCATCCACAAGTGTATGTATGGGTTTCGGAATCAGTTGTATTGCAGAAGCCATACACCCCACAAAGAGCAGTCACAGTGCAAGGCTCTGTTACTGCCTGCCACACAGATCTCCACTCACTTCCATTTTCTTTGTGGTAAATCCACTTCTGAAAGTTTCCCTTGTCATCCACCACCACACGGTGATAGTAATCTTCGATTGCACCCTCAACATTCGTGGTCATGTTAAATATAATTTGGTGGGTGGCATTGACCGCGTAAAGAAAAGCTGTTGTGTTGTCGAAAATAATTCTCACACCTGTGTTTTGGACAGTGTCACTCCACCAGTAGGCAGAATCCGTGAACCGGTAAGCTTTAAGAACAATGTTGCCATCAAATTCCTGAATCTCCAAACTGTATTGTCCAGTTGAGTAGTCAACTGATCCATTGGCATTGGAATAGAGATTCCGACTGGAATTCAAAGTTTGGCCTAATAGAAGAGTGTCCGTGGGTGAGTCAAAGCTCTGCCATATAACGTTAGAAAGTGCATTCTTCAAGACGAAATTCCCGTCATTCTGCATAACTGCTGATGCTGTGTTTGTTCCTTCGTAGATGGGAAATGAAGTCCCGTTGAGAGGTTGGAGCACAAATTGGCCACTTCGTGTGAGATTGATGAATGATCCAATTTCTACTGGGTTGTCACGGTTTGCAGACAAAACCAATGTTTTATTTGGAATTTTGTCAAACCAAATTCCAACAAGATAGCGGCCACTAGTGAGGTGATAGAATCCAAAGGCATAATCACCAGAGGATGATCGCCAAGATGAATTGGTGCCAGCCACGATGGTGGAGCCCAGTTGGATTGAGTTAGCATCATTCCCGGAAGCAAAGGAACATAAAAGGAAGGCAACAAAGAGAAGAAATCGGATAACCATTTTTGGTAGGAAAGAGCTATGCAATGCAATCAAAACTGAAGCTGTATCGTCATGATATATACATTGATGCATAAGCTAAATGAGCATCATGAATAGTTTGCAGGATACTTCACGGCAATTATGCAGTGGAAGACTTTTGGCGACAGATTGACTAAGCTTTTTCAACAATTCAATTATGGAGTTAGATATCATGAAGAGAAGAACTGGTGGGGTGCATAGTATATATATATATATATATATATATATAT